GTGCTTTAGCCCTCCATGGCGTTGTTAATGTGTCCATCTTGCTTCATAAATCCCTAAATAACCACACAATAATAAATAAATCGCTGCTGTCTGAACAAAACCTTTTATCTCCATTTTTGTCGTTTTTCAGTTTTTGTCTTTTTTTTTTTCGTATTTTGAAAATGCCTGTTGCCCTGTGCGTAAATTTCATGATGACTGGACCAAAGGAAACGGCCCAAAATGACTTGGAAAAAAGTCTGGTTCCATTGACTTACATTAAAAGTAAAGTAGGATTTTCCTTCTCCTGTGAAGTTATCATTTTGGAGATATGAGGTTTTGATCCGACAGCAGCGAAATGTACAAGACAAAATAAAATCATGGCAAAGTTTCCAACATATAAAGCTCATCAGCTCCTTCACCTTTAAGAAACGGAACCTGGAACTGGAAAAAAGTAACATTTTCCTCTCTTCTCTAAAAAAAAAAGGCAAAAAATGTAAAGATTTTTTTTTCTTCAGACTCCCATACATTCATTTGAAAATGAGCAATCCATGCATTTGCCAGTAAAAATATTAGGGTCAGGCAGTGATAAATATGGTCAATTTAATGAGAAGAAAAGCAGATTTAAGCAATAATAACACAGTGTTAGCCTGGGATAAAAAGAAATGAACGTGCAAGTGAGCTGCCTCAAAGCGCGACTGATGGACGGGCATCAATCAGGAGTAATAATGGAGTACGAGAAGGTAAAAGGATGCAGTATGTGGTGAAAGAGAGAGACGGAGAAAAGGAGAAACAGATCATCAGTGTATGTAACAGTAGTGCACAGCTTAAGGCCCCAGGACCCTCCACAGTTCATCCAGGAGAAGAGTTTTCTATGACAAGCTCAAATGTATCTAATTAACATGAATATAAAGGTCGCAGATTCAGAGCAGAGGAGACTGGCTTTTGTTTGACGACCCTGGTAAATAATTAATGGTGCACCTCTGCCATTCCATCTGTCAGGACTTGTTCTGGTGAATTGCTGAAAGAATTGATTCTTTAATAGCTTTAGGTAATTCAGTAACACTTTACTGAAGGGCAGTGTTCATAAGGCTAAGCCTTTTCAAACCAATGTAGACATTGATAAAGGCTTATTCCAACAAGCGTCAGCTGTCTCATTAGATAAAATGACACCAAAATTGACAAAGGCAGCCTTTATGACAACTGAGCCTTGCTGGAGTGAGTCTTTATAAACGTTGGTGTAGATTTATGGCAGTCTTAAAAAGCTTATGTAGCCTTACGACTCGATAAAGTGTCACTGATCATCCTCAAAGGTCAAAAGAAATGGAAAATGTCACTGTTTCACTGCCTTCTTTACTCCAATAGGATCTTTTTGAATGAATGATATGTGTGGCTGAGTTTCCGGAGGTCCCCAGTGACCCGTATTTCAGCAGAACCAAACAAATGAAACCTGTTCAATGAACTGCATTTCCCAGCATCCTCCCCTTCCTAGCATTTCACAGTTCTTCTTTCACTCCGTTGAGCACCAACGAGTTGGTAGCTTCTCGTTTCAAAAAGCTGAGAAAGTCCTTCATTTCACGGGGTCCCTGAAACAACAGAGACATGTTTTGCTTTATGCTACTGTTTGGTGCAAAACAAATGCCACATTAAAAACTTCTGCACTACACACTTAAAAAGATGGTCCTTCAAGGGTTCTTTAGTAAAGAAAATGGTTCTATACAGAACCATAAACACTCCGCATGATTAATGGGTTATTTGCATGATGAAATGGTTCTTCAGATTGATGGAGAACATGCTGTAGATGGTTCTATATAAATCGTTTTGAAAAGGGTTCTTTATAGCACCAAAAAGGGTTCTGTATTGTTAAGATGTCAAGCCTGTAACAATAGAAGAACCCTTATTGGTGCTATATAGAACCATCTACATCAATCTGAACATTCTCCATCAATCTGAAGAACACTTTTACCCTTGAATCATGCAGAGTATTTATGGTTCTATATAGAATAGGGCTGGGCGATATGGCCAAGAAAGGTTATCGCAATAAAAAATTTCATATCAGTCGATGTCGATACATATCACGATCAATGTCAAATCATTATTTCTTAAGTTTGAAGGCTGATTTTTGCTCCTGGGTGGTTAATTGCTGTTTTAAACTATCCATTATGGTCAGAACACGACAAACACTCACCAAACAGTGGAACATTTCACAGATCTGTCATGGGAGAGTGGGAGAAAGTTTCTGGCTGGCTGTTTTTACCAGCTGGAAAAGCACGGCCGCAATTTTTGTAATAGTCTATGGCTATCCCTTTACAAATGCTAAACAAGTGGCCAACAACAGTGCTAAACTGTTTAGTTTCTCAACAACGTCAGCTTAATACGAACGTTAGCTGGCTCAGTAGGTCAGTGATGATCACACTGCTTTACTGCCATCACTCCGACCACATCCATGTCAGAGTATATCACAGTATTCAGACACCAGCTAGCGACGACTGGGTTTCTCTATTCTATCGTAGTAGTTTGAAGGGTGAACCGCAATATATCTGACGCTCGCTGTGTAAAAGCATTAACTGCAGTGTGAATCTCTCACACCAAGCAAACAGAGTCGTCCTTTTAGGTACGTTTAAACTAAAATCAGTGCTTTTTTGTCGTTTGATCTACAGTAACATCAATTCGCCGTGCTGCTAAAGCTGGTTAGGATGTAAGGAAAGAGGTGAGTTCACTGTAGGCCAGCACAGTTACGCCACTGATCTCATCACTCACACTCGGTCACTGGAGAACAGATCGCCGGTCGCTCCACTCAAACGGGGAATATATAACTCCACGTTTCAGATGTTGCTAAAGTATATTTGGCAACTCGTTTTACTTGTCGCCCCCTCCCTCCCATGTTGAAAAACTCGGAAGTGTGCCCACTTGTGGCGACAGCAGAGTAGTGTCGCTTTCCCTGTCGCTAGAACATGGAAGCATGAGAACGATCTATTATATTGAAGATTTATTGAACATTTCTTATATTTCTATCGAGGAAAGTTATATCGCAATAGTTATCGTTTTATCGCCCAGCCCTAATATAGAACCTTTTTTTTTTTTCTAAAGAACCCTTGAAGAATCATCTTTTTTAAGCGTGTAGTGACCTTGTGGAAATCAAGAACATTACCTCATATCGCTTTGGGTCATCTTTCCTCCCAGCAGGGACAAAGTATATTGTGGGAAATCTGCAAAAAGGTCAAATTAACCTTAACAAAGGCATACGAGTGTATATACAACCTACATTACAGTATAAACTATAAAGCGCACGTAAAAATCTTTATAAATGTGTGTTGTCTTCAAGTGAAAAGATGCGCTCTTAAAGGTAAATCAGATCTGGGACCCTTTTTTACACTATATAAAAGCAAAGCTCTGTAAGGATATGACCAGTTAAAGGTTCCGCACAAATATCTCACAGTGACTATGCAAAAGTGACGCTTTAAAATAAGTGGACAGTTCCTGTGCAATTGTTATGTATGTAAAGTGAAATTACAGTGTGGTCACTGTAATCCAGATACTTGGTAATACAACATATTTTAATTAATTGCATGAAAGTTACTTTTAAATATATGCAGTGTAAATAGCAACAAACAGTTGGTGGCCGGACACTGAAGTACTTTCATCTAATGTATTTTGATAGGTATCTTTTCTGCACCCTCCCCCTCCTCTCCCAGCTCCACTACTATCATCATCATCATCATCATCATCAACATAACCTTTTTATTTTTGTAAGTGTAAAAATGTAATGTTCAGTTATGAGTCTAAATTCTAAAAATATACTGTTGAAAAAGACACAAAAGAAGCTGATAATGGTGGGATTGTTGCGATTACATACCCTTGTACATCATAGCCTTGTGGAACATCGTTGGCAGTGGCATCCATCTTGGCAATAACGATACTGGGATCACTGGAAAGCTGAGGAAAGAGACAGATGACAACTAACCAACACCCCGGACAAAATACGTTGTGTAGATTTTCTAGTTAAAACTCTCTTAACACATCCTCTACAGAAAACAAAGTGAAATACGACATATTTGTACAAATTAAGTGCACGATTTCTGTTTATTTACTGAGCTCAACATACTGGAAAAAAATAAACTAGAAAATATAAAGTGTGTCTTAACTGTGTAGTTACATATTAACAATACATGAAACAACAGTATAACTACTGTTAATGTATTCACCGTTACAGATGGAGTTCAGCTGTGCAGCTTATATAAATACATGTGTATTCATTTTTTGTTCCTGTAATTACATAGTAATTTGACAGTTAAAGCATATTTAATCTTGTGCTATTACACATAGTATTGGAGACTATAATTTAATTGAATTTAATATAATTAAAAATTTCATTCATAATTAAAATATTGTAAGTTATTTTTAAAGATATGTTGCTGTTATATGTTGATGTTGCTGTGTAACTAGCTTCACATTACAGAATGGTTTAAAGCCCAGACGTCGGTCAGGTTACCCTGTCATACCACATAGCCATGCACAGGTATACTATTACAGCTAGCTAAATGCTAATAAAAAGCAGACGCAGCATATGTACCCTTATAATGTTGGTAATTACACACCTCCTGTTACAATCAGAAAAGACTTGTCGTTGAAGGTATTTCAGTTGTTAGAAAGAATAATATGAAGCGGGACTGTTAAATTCAGCAAATAAACAGTGATCGTGCATTAAAATGTGCAGGAGTGTGTCTCTGTAGAGGACGAGAAACTTTTTTCACTTAAAAAAAATCAACAAAACATAATTTGACCAGGGGTGCCAAAACTTTTGCATATGAGTGTACATAGTGAAAACTGTTCAGAAATAAACTGAAAATAAAAAGAGACATTTTGAAACATTACAAAAACACTGACAAAGCTAACAGTTTGAAAGGTGTTCAGCGATCGTGAGCAGATGCTGTGCTCGCTCCTTCTGTCGTGGTGACCCACCTCCTGTCCGAGTTCTGTGTATTTGGGCTCTAGCTTCTTGCAGTGGCCACACCACGGAGCGTAAAACTCAATCAGCACATCTTTCTCTGGGTCATTCACTATTTCTTCAAACGTATCTGCTACAACCACCTACACACAAACCAAGTCATTTTAAACAGTGTAATGTGACCTGAAGCAAACTTTAATAAAAGAGCATTAATGATATTCAAATAAACTTATATAAAATTAATAAAAATGTTAGTCCTGTCTACACACCTTGACTGGTCCATTGTTGTTTGCAGGTACAGGCTCAGATTTGATATAACGTTTCAATCTGCCAGCAAAGTAATCCTCCAAAAACCTCTCTAAAGACTTTCCATCTCGCCTGAAGAATAAATAGATGATTCATTTGAACATGTAATATTTAAAGCAACGTTATGAGTTCATGTTATGTATCACAGCCTAAAGATCCATTTTGATCGTACATTTACTCTAAAAGGACTAATATATATTACCATTATTTCCTTCAGACTTTTTTCTAAATAAAAAGGACTATTCATATTTCCTTTAGACCCCATGTGTCAAATATAAGGCCTGCAGTCCTATCCGGCCCGCGAAATTATTTTTACATTTTCTGTTCTTATTAGTCCGTTTCACCCTGAGATGAACTACAACCCCAGCATGCACTGCAACATAGTGTGCGTTCTGACCCCCTTCCCACGCTGGCCCAGCAGTTACACAATAAGAAAAGATGCCTGGTGTCTAGTTCAAGCAAATAGGCTGTTTTAAAAAAAAAACTTGCTAAAACAATTTATTTGTATTTAGAATTATTTTTGAATACGTTTTTCAGTGCCTATTTTGCTGTAGCAGTTTTGGCATATTTAGAATAAAGAATGGCAAAATGCTAAGTAAAAATGAAATAAAAACAGCTGACTCACAGACTTGCTGAGATTTATTAATATGGCCTTTTTAGTGGTTGAGATCAACACCCCTGATTTAGACTTTTTTCTAAATAAGGACAGGTTTGTCCGAGTTTAAAAGATCTGATGAAAGTCTGATGTATATAAATGAGTGTCTGGCCTTCATTAGTCCCCTCAGAAATCTGCTGTGTGGATTGAGTCAGACGTGGCTAGACTTACGTGAACTCCTCGCGCATGCTGTATTTGTGCCCTGCTCGAGTCCTGATGGTGACAAACGGAACCTCACTGCCTTCTGATGTTCCCAACCCATAGTCTTCTTCCAGCTCATCCTCAAAGTCTTTCCGATTAGCCACGGAGAAGAGCAGACCACGAGTACTGTACTGAGATGCCACCTTCATCACCCTGACCAAAACAGCACACAGCGACTTTTCAGTACATTCTTACATGTGATGCACTCCTGTGTCAGTAAAGATTCCTGAGGCTTTTATCTACCTGAAACAATTTTTTAGAGGTTTTTCTTAAGTATGGAAGCTCTCAAAAAAGCATTTACTTGTATTCTATGTGGCCCAAATCAAGTCAATTTGCATTGTCTTAACTCAAGTGCATCACTTTAAACATTAAAACCTATAAAATGACAGAATAAAACTGATCTTATATGGCAATGTTGACTGTTGGGTGTAAATTAAAGCTAATTATAGTGCTTACAACACACTGCATTCAAGACAGCTAAGTAGATGGTTAAGGTAAGAGAAAATATGATTAAATTAAATGTTTGGACAATTTTTCTACTTGTGAGCAGTCGAGTGTATTGGGTAAGAAACTTATTTGGTGTGACAGCAATGCCTAAATTCAGCAGCCTCTTCCATCTCTGTAATGTCTATTTCTTACCCTGAGCGAACTTAGGCATTGCCGTTACACCAAACAGGTTTCTTACAACTTTATTTTGTAAAAAAGCCGAGTATTTTGGGAAACTTTTTTTGTGATGGAAATGCCTAAATTCAATAGCCTCTTCCATCTCTGTAATTTCTTACCCTGAGCAAAGTGGTCATAAACATTACAGCCATCAGTCCACCTCCACAGGTAAAATGAATCCTGTCTGAATAGTACTTTCAGTACCTAACTCACTCACTCACATTTAGCAGGCTGAAGATGCTCCACAAGAGGGTGCTCTTAACAGCTTTGCACGTGATTGAAAGGAAAGAAATATGAATGAACCCACACCAACAGGATCTGACGAATGCATGTATACTTGCAGTCACAAATTTGCGTACTTGTGAAATAAAAGGCCAGAAAAACACACCCTACGTACACCGATCAGGCATAACATTATGACCACCTTCTTGTTTCTACGCTCATTGTCCATTTTATCAGCTCCACTTACTATATAGGTGCACTTTGTAGTTCTACAGTTACAGACTGTAGTCCATCTGTTTCTCTGCATACTTTGTTAGCCCCCTTTTACCCTGTTCTTCAGTGTTCAGGACCCCCATGGACCCTCACAGAGCAGGTACTATTTGGGTGGTGGATCATTCTCGGCACTGCAGTAACACTGACGTGGTGGTGGTGTGTTAGTGTGTGTTGGGCTGGTCTGAGTGGATCAGACACATGTAAACAGAGGGCTGCTGAAGATGCAGTACAACTGTTCACTGATATGGGAAACATTCACTTGATCTGCATATAAAGTCTATTTCGGCAAAGCAGTGAAGATAACCAGAGGGAAAAACAGCAGCAGTGGAGCTGTAATATGAATCTGTGGAATATTGCTATTGACTGTTTACCTGTTTCTCCAGTAGTTGGAGCCTTTGGGGTTGTGTAGGTAATCCAGGTCATAATACGCCGTCAGCAGGTCCCTCTTCCTCAGCTGATCGTTATTCTCTTTGGTCATGTGTGGGCAGATTCCATAACTACAGGCACACAGACAGAAAAGTACTGCAGTGTGCATGCTTACCTACAGCTCTGTAAAACCAACAGCACTTCATGACATTCTCTATATATCAGGTAAAGGGGAACTCCACCAATTTTTTAAAAATCCCACAATTCATTGGTTAAGATGTAAACAAAGTCATTCAGAGTGGTTTGATGTGAAACGCTCCATTTTAGAGAAACTTGCCGGGTCAAAACTGTTCACCATGGTGGTGATAGGAAGCAGATGTCTGAAGAGTTTAATGACTCTAAAAGCTCCCACACAGAAAGCTATTACATGAAATGGTTAGGAATACTCAGCCTGATGATTGAGGCATGTTTTGCAGTGGTTTTGTGATAGAATTTTGTCCTAAATGTATTTGAATCAGTTTATTTTAATCTATTCATAGAGGAGAGATACATAAAGGTTGTTCTAAGGCAAAAATAGTCCCCAAAGAAAAGGTTCAGATTTCTGACTATTTTACTATTATTGACATTACATATAAGAAAATCAGAAGTCACATGTAGGTTCACTGGTGGGTTTGGATAGTAAATCAAATGGCTATATTTGTGTTGTAGACATGGCGACCCCTGGTTTCTATCAGCACCTCTGCACAGACATCAGACTGTAAGTTTCTCTACCATTTCTCATCAAACCATTCTGCATGACTATGTTGCATCTCAAGGACTGAATTAGTCAAAGATTTTGAAAAATTTAGTGGAATTCCCCTTGAAGGCCTATTTTGTGTAGTGATAATGAATGGTAATAAAATATTTTTTGCATTTATTTCCATAAAAATTTAAGAATGTTTTTCTTCCCTCTCCTGTAAAGTCACCATTTTGGAGATACAAGGTTTTGTTCTGACAGCAATGATAAGTAATTTTATATGTGCATTAATTAGGGCTGTCAACGTGAACACGTTAATGCTCACGTTTAATCTGGAAACGTTAATGCGTTAATTTTTTTTTAACACAAATTAATCATATTACCCAGTTTGACACCAACTTCCTCCTGTAACTCCCTCACGGATTTACTGAAAGGCGCAAACATGGATAACACAATGAGTGGGCTCGCGCTGTCCACGTCTGATTGGTCCGAGCGGTCACATGCTCAAGAGTTAAATCCTGCGGGTTTAAGCGGCGTCCATTCATTGTCGGACTTCTGAACGTGGACGAGCGTGAACTTTTAGCACAGGCGTGTCCAAACTTATCCACCAAGGGCCTGTATGGCTGCAGGTTTTTATTCCAACAAAGCAGATCACCTGATCAGCAGTCTGAAGACTGAAACCAACTGATTAAACAAGTGGAATCAGGTGTGCTCCAGCTTGTTTTGAGTGAAATCCTGCAGCCACACCGGTCCTTTGTGGATTAGATTGGACACCCCTACTTTAGCAGGTAGGTATGCCTATAACACATACGAAGCGCTTTTTGCTGGTGCTAATGTGATTCCAAAGTGGATAATTCATTCACTTTTATTTCATATTCTTTCTCTCGGTCAGCTTAATGAATCCCTGAAATGTGTTGAGGGGACATCTCTTGGTGTGCTGCATGGCAAGTTTTGTTTTAAAAAGCTTCCAGATGGAAGTTTAGATAAAACTAAAGTTCAATCTGGAGCTGGATGACTAAACGTCACCACTATAGGAACAGATAGTGCTCGTAATATGATCACGGCAGCAAGGAATCTACCATTCATTGTGCAGCACACATTACACAGAGGGTCATCACAGTGGCTCTCTGTGACAGCGGGTTTGTCGATGCTTTAGCCAAGTGCTGTAAAATAGTTGGACATTTAACAAGCCTCTCATGGTCAAGAAGAGGAGACACTCGTCCAGGATGTACCCACACCCTGAAATTCAACTCTCGAAATGCTAAAGCAGGTCCAACACAACAAAGACTCACTGAGGGCAATGCTGGCACAGCAGAAGCACAACTTAGCCCTGCCTTTCACTGCCATTCAATTCATGAATTCTTTTATTTGTTTTATCCCCCCCCAAAAATACAAGTAAATACTATTTAAACCTCACGATTAATCAAGATTAGTCACAACCTATCGACTTACAGTAGAGTACATAGTAGAGACCTTGTTTTCCAGCGAGAACTGCAATGCAGTGGGTGCCAGTATGAGTACAGAGGTATGAAGGCATGCTGCTTACATGTTGTCTCTGATGAAGCGGCGCAGGGCAGTGACGGAGAAAGGGCCTCTGTGTGGTACCACACTCTCCTCAAACATGCTGGCCAGCCGGGGAGGCCTGAACAACAGCACACCCCTGCAGACGCACACAGCAGCTTCAGGGTTATTTAACTTGATAAGGGTTAAGACTGTCATTTTTCTATACATTTTAATTACATTATCACTCATATGTACTTACAGAATCACATAATCATACACAGTCATAGCTACACAAAAGTAACTTCTCATCAAATTCAAATCGTAATAAAATATCTCCTCTACTCACGAACACAAATGCGATATGGATTAAGTTTAAATTCTGAACTTTCGACTGAATTTCTCTGTTTGTTGAAATGAGCTACGAGTGAGAAATGACCAATCAAAATGTAAGAAAGCTCAGTGTATAGGCCATGGGGGGTTCTAGGCAGATTAATTAGCATTTTCCTTTATTGATTATCAGGTTCGGTCCCAGTTGGCAGCCCACTGCCTTTCTCTCCTCTGCCCTTACTCAGATGTGAGGTCATATTTGAGGCCCAGCTGGAGGTCAGTGGTGTGCGCAAAGCGGAATTTGTCCCTCATCAGATTGGCTCCTTTTAGAAACTCCACCAGCTGAGGGCTATCACTGCTCTCAAACACACCTGAATGAGACAGAGAGAGACAGAGAGAGAGAGATAGTATCAAGTTAACAGCACAGCAATATTATGTAAGTGATACATACCTGACTATATAAACATTATTTACCCAGTTATTTCCTTAAAAAAGGTTCTACTTGATAACAGCATAAATTTTCACTATACATTTTTTTTTGGCTAAAGAAATTGTAGATATTAAAAATCATATTTGAAAATCAGCACAAGAACAGTTTGTCAGGAGCTTCATGAACTGGGTTTCCATGGCTGAGCAGCTGCACACAAGCCTAAGATCACTATGCGTTGGCTGGTGTGGTGTAAAGCACTCTGTTCTCTGGAGTGATGATTCATGCTGCACTGTCTGGCAGACTGATGGATGAATCTGGGTTTGGCAGGTGCCAGGAGAACACTACTGTGCCAATAGTAATGTTTGGTGGAGGAGGGATAATGGTGCTGTTTTTCAGAGTTTGGGCTCTTGAATTCCAGTGAAGGCTAAAAGACATTTCAGACAATTATATGTTTCCAACTTTGTGGCAACAGTTTGAAGAAGGCCCTTTCCTGTCCCAGCACGATGGTGCCCCGTGCACAAAGTGAGGTTAATAAATAATTCCTGTGCAAGACCTGATAGACTACCAAAACTGATAAACAGCACTTAAAGCTTTCATCTTTGAGAGAGAGGAGAAAATCAAGCTGCTTCAGATCTGAAAACATCCACAGGTGTTTCTGTCCATCCTTCCACTGTGAGAAGACGACTCAGCGCTATGGGTCTGAACGGATATGTAGCTAAAAGAAGCCTCACGGAGAAAACTAAATAGACAAATTTGCACTAGAACACCAAAACTGGACATCTGAGATGCAAAGTAAGGCTTTATAGACTGGTCTAACTTGTCATTAGCATTACTTGAATTGTAAGAAGAAGAAAATATAACCAACTTCTAAGACTGAACTATGGAAAAACACCCCTGCAGATTTCTTTAAGAAACTGAAAGTGAGTCTCTTGAAAGAATGGAAGCTGTAATAAAGGCAAAGCATGGACACACTAAATACTTGAAAGGATGGTCTCTGACATATATAGAGTACCTGCAGAGGTACTGTATATATGACATCACACCATGAAACAGTGGATGTTGCATAAACAATGAAGACAGAACATGTTTTTTGAACAATTATAACGATTAACTACATAATAAACACGATTAAACTTCAAGGCTATCTACTCACCAACCACACTGGCATCAAAGTGGTTGACGAAGGTCTCCAGGTCTTTTTCATTGTGTAGAGACACTGAGTCGGGGCCTGCTTGCTTCTTCATATAATCCACGATTCCATCTGTAAAAGATTTACATTTATGATTTAAATTCTGCTAAAAATAATTTCAAAATAAACCATTATACTCTGAATGTAATCTGAAATACCAAATGAGTTTTGCACATTAAATAAAAGTATATACATTCATGAAAATGTACTCTCCAATGTGAAGCATTTGTGTGCAATTATATCCACATAAAAATCAAAGTGCAAGCAAAACCAATTTGTCAGGTCAGAACTGCTCTTCACCACGAAACACAGCTCTGACAGCTTTACTATATTAAATAGTATATTTAACTTACTGAAATGGATTTCGGGGACAAATGTAAAGAAATCTACAACATACTGAAAGGATAACACTTCTTTTGTGTGATGGTACTTCACTGCTTTGAATCTCCTATGTAATATACACTTTAAACAATGCACACACAGGCAAACAAACACACCTGCTGAACGTGGACCATCGTATGACGATGACTCCTCTCCATTCCTAAAGATTTTGAGTGTGGGGTATCCGTTGACCCCAAACCGCCCACAAACCTCTGTGTTAGTCGTACAGTCCACCTGTAGAAGAAAAGACAAAGCACAGACCATAAAACAAAACATCATAAAACAAACACAAAATAATATCCATCTGTAGAAACTTCTCATTCACAGCACAGTGATCACCTGAACAGCAAATCCATGTTTAAGCTCTCCACTCAAACACAACAACATCACTAAATGTAAGGTGGTTTAAGAAGAGTGTCTGAGAGGGGTTACCTTGGCTAAAGTTACTATTCCTTTTAGTCGTTTGGCAGCAGTTTCAAACTCAGGAGCAAGTTTCTTACAGTGGCCACACCTGTGGAGAAAATGAAGTGCAACAGACACTTCTAACTGGGGAATAAGCATATACAACTGAGGAACGCACACTTATAACTGGAGAATAAGCACTTATAACTGAGGAATGCACACTTATAACTGAGGACTGCACCCTATACCGGGGGAATAAGCACCTATAACTGAGGACTGCATACTTATAACTATGGAATGCACACTTATAACTGAGGAATTCACACTTATAACTGGAATTAAGCACTTTTAACTGAGGAACTCACATTTATAACTGGGGAATAAGCACTTATATCTAAGGAATACACACATAACTGGAGAATAAGTACTTATAACTGAGGAATGCACACTTATAACTGAGCAATGCACACTTATAACTGAGGAATGCACACTTAATAACTGGGAAGTAAGCGCTTATAACTGAGGAATGCACACTTATAACTGAGGAAGCACACTTATAACTGGGGAATAAGAACTTATAACTGAAGATTGCACACTTATAACTGGGGAGTCAGGTCTTGTACCTGAGGAATGCAAACTTACAACTGGAAAATAAGCACTTATATCTAAGGAATACACACTTATAACTGGGGAATAAGCACTTATAACTGAGGAATGCACACTTATAACTGGGGACTGAGCAAGTATAATTGAGAAATGCACACTTATAACTGAGGAATGCACATTTTTAACTGGGGAATATACACCTACAACTGGGGATTGTGTATTTATAATTAGACAGTATACACTTATGACTTTTAACGTATAACTTTTCTAACTCTTTTATCCGAAAGAGGTATACTTATAATAAGGTAATAATATTAATATAATAATAATAATTATAAGGTAACTTATAATTAGGGAACAAACACTTATAACTGGGGAATATACACCTTTAACTAGACAGTACACATTTACAACTGAGTAATGTGCTTAGAACTGGAAAATGACTTATAGCTGAGGAATGCATACTTATAACTGAGGAATATATATATTTTTTAAACTCTGAAATATACACTTATAATTGGTAAATATAAACATATAACTAGTGAATACTCTTATAACTGAGGACTCAAAATTAAGAAATATACACATATAACTAGACAGCGTATCTATTACTGAGGAATACACGTATGATTAGGAAATTTATACATACATTTATAACTGAGTCATACAATTATAACTGGAGACTATACACTTGTGAAAGAGGAATGCACTCAAACTGGGGAATTTACATTTACAACTGAAGAGTATACACTCACAACTCACAAAGGAAATGCACTCATAAAACTGAGGACTTTAGGAAAAATAGGGAACGTACACAGACCGGCCACTTCATTAAAACCACCTCCTCGTTTCTGCACTCAGTGTCCATTTTATCAGCTCCACTTACTATACAGGTGCACTTTGTAGTTCTACAGTTACAGACTGTAGTCCATCTGTTTCTCTGCATACTTTGTTAGCCCCCTTTTACCCTGTTCTTCAGGGGTCAGGACCCCCATGGACCCTCACAGAGCAGGTACTATTTGGGTGGTGGATCATTCTCAGCACTGCAGTGATACTGAGGTGGTGGTGTCGTGTTAATGTTATGCTTGTACGAGTGGATCAGAGACAGAAGCGAAATAATAATAATGATACCTGCTCTGTGGTGGTCCGGTGGGGGTCCTGACCTTTGAAGAACAGGGTGAAAGATGGCTAACAAAGTATGCAGAGAAAAAGATGGACTACAGTCTGTAACTGTAGAACTACAAAGTGCTCCTATGTAGTAAGTGGAGCTGATAAAATGGACACTGAGCGCAGAAACAAGGAGGTGGTTTAAATGATACGGCTACACCTGTAACTGGGTGATGCAGCTCTGACAGCTTAAGGAAGCCACACTTGATTAAAAGGCTTCCTTGCTACCAGCTCTGACTGAGGCTATGAGCCCGAAAACTGATCAGATCATTTATATTAAAACTACATTTACAAAAGCAAACAGAAGCGCTGCTTTTCGCTTTTAGCTTCTTGTTCGAATTTCCCCGTTCCACCTTAAATGGAGCGGCAGTTACACTCAGGCGCCTGAAGCTCTAGCATGCAGCAGCTGCACCATTTAAGGTGGAACGGGGAAATTCGAACAAGACCCTTCCTGCTCCGTAACCGGCGCGTGCAGCGGGCAGCAGGTACCATGGACAGCTCAGTAAACCCAGCGGCAAAGCAGCGCGAGGGGGTTTTCGCGGAAAGATGAAAGCGTGCATCACACGGCCTCTCGCGCACACGAGTCCGAACAGGTATGAAGTGCAGGAGAAGGTGCACGTGCGACTCACCAGGGCGCGTAAAACTTCACCAGCAGGGTCTCGTGCTCGGCGGCCACATAATCGAAGTCAGCGTCTTTCAGCTCGACCACATCACTGCGCGCGTGCGCAGAGCGGGCGAAGAAGGACACGAATAGCACACAGGAGAAAACGGCGGACACTAAATTAGCCATGAGGGCAGAAAAAAACCCGGGTGGACAAAAAAAAACACAGAAAGAAAAGACGAACCTCCTCCGCTCTCCCTGTTCTCTCCACCTCTCCGGCACAGACCGTTCCTCTACGTTGGGGCGGGACGAAAGGAAAAGTGAACGGTGAATGGATGGCATTTCTATAGGTGGTGAGATGTAAGTCTGTGATTGGTGGATCCACCCGTCAATCAGAGCGCGTCCAATCGACGGCGCTTCATTACAATTTCTTCTGATGACATTTTTACTAGCAGCCACAAGAGGGCAGCATCACAGACACTGACACTATTCTATGCAGTCCACGGTTTAATCTGTTTAAAAAGCACTACATAAACAAAAATGGAGTGAATGGATTAAAATAAGTGCTTATTTTATATATGTACACACAAAGATGGTTCTTCAAGGGTTCTTTAGTAAAGGGAAATCATGGTGAAATCGTCCTTCAGATTGATGGAAAGTGTGTTGCATATGGTTCTATATAGAACCTTTTTGAAAACAGCACCAAAAAGGGTTCTGCTGTTGTTACAGGCTTAATGGTGTAGCAATAAAAGAACAATTTTCAAAAAGGTTCTGTATAGAACCATATACACAACACTCTCTCCATCAATCTGAAGAAGCATTTCACCATGCAAAGGACCATTTAAGCATACAAATGGTTCTATATAGAGCCATTCCTGCTACTAAAGAACCCTTGAAGAACCATTTCCGAGGGTCTAGGGTTGGTTGCCACAATATTTACTTACAAAACTCTCACAAAAATGATTTACCTCTTGAAATGTACTGTTAAGGCAGGGGTAACTTTTTTATTATTCTGTATTAAAATAAAACAGAAAAAAAAATACTGAAAATGTATTTATTTTAGTTATAAATTGCAGTTTACTATATTTTAAAAATTGTATATGATTTGAAATCCACTGATAAGTAAAGCTAACATGAAGCACATACAGAGTTGATGTGGGTGGGGTTGGATGGCGTCTCAGTTAGCCTGTCCAGGTGCAGGAATACGGTCACAAACATATTATTATACATGATTCACTGTACAGACTAAACAGTGCAGTCACTAATACAACTAGAATGCATTACTGTACTTCATTACTGTTTACATTAAATATGTAACAAGTTGCTCTGACCTCTAAGCTGTAGCCCATTCGATTGAGTCTCTCAAGATGAAAAATAATTTTATCCCAAATTATTTGTGTATAAATTCATTTTATTTGAATAGATTTGAACTTGTGTTTAATTTTAACATATATTTCATTTTAAGTGTTTATTTCATTTAAAAATGTTTACAATTGTGATGTTTTAGTTTAGGCCAAGAATAAAATACATTTAAAGCCCAGTTTACTTTTATTATTGTTCTTTTTACTGTTCAGTGCAAACCAACGATAAAACAAAACATTCCTGATGTTTATTTGATTCAAAAATAATTTGTGGCTGATTCATGTTTAAATTTGTGGTTTGGTTTAATTGAAAAAGATCTGATCATTTCTATTTGTTACTTCACTCTTTAGTGCCTTTTAACGCTGTGCCAACCAACTGCACGTTGGGGCTGGTTGGCACAAGCGCACTCATGAATGCAGTAATTTCATAAACATCATTTTCTGGCATTGAAAGTGTTTTTAGCCAAGATGTTCAGCTGTCATTTGCTGATAGTTGGGTGATCCCAATGCCTGGTACACCCAGGATTTACAACAGAGAGGGAGAACTGTACCTACCAATCCGGCTCTCCTCTACTTTAGAACCGTACACAGCTTCAGTACCTGAACTGTAACTCTACATAACAACCTTAGCACACATTTCATGTTTTTGTCTTTAAATCAAACTCGTATCAGCACCTTCACTAAGAGAAACTACTTGCATATCTTATACAGCACAAATAAAAAGATTCTGCTGAAAATATTTGTCATTTTATTTGTCAGAATTCCTTACAAATGGTTATTTACATGAACATGAAATGAAGTGATTTCTGACAAAATATACAACTTCATGTATTTTGTAATAAACTTTAGTGTTTCGGTTTGTTAATATTATATATATATTGAGTTTGATTTCCAGTTTTTATATATATATATATATAAACTGGAAATCAAACTCAGTGGTAATGCAACACCATCCTCCATTCTGCACGTCCAAAAAGGCACGGTGTTTCTGTGAGACGTGCTCTCTTCATGATACTAAAAGCACTACAAAATAAATAAGGCACCTCTTCTTCTTTTGCCTTTATGGCTTTTTGCTTTAGACACATCAGTGAATTCATGATCGAGGTCCAAATGCACCAAATTCAGTCGATCAGTAACAGAAAAACACACGCGATCTAATAGACACAATATCCCTCACTCCAAATAGTCCTTTTGTTAAAGTGTCTCTTGTGAAACGTTCACAGTGATGATGATGTTTCTGTCAAGGTCCAGCCTGAACACACTCAGTGTTCTCAACTCATCAGCTCAGCTGAGCCTGGAGCTCATCAACCCAGCAAACACCAGCAATCCAAACTGCTAGGTGGACTTTTGATGTCTATAAGCTTGTGCTAGTGATTCTTTAGCCTCATAAAACCATCCTAATGCATTTGATATTTATTTTATATCTTCCTGTGATTAAAAGGGGAACTCAGGAGATTTTATAAACACAGTTCCGCCAACAATGTGGACGGGTCAGGCTGGAAAATGGACAGAAGAAAATACTTTCTATGAACAGGACATCAATATTGAAGCGGAAATTTAAGCGATTTATTAAAGTTCTGCATAATTAATTGGTTAAGATGTAAACAACATCATTCAGACTGGTTTGATGTGAAATACTCTGTTCCTAAACTTACCGGTTCAGAACTGTTCACAGTGGTGGTGATAGGAACCAGACGTCTGAAGAGATTATTGCCTCTAAAACAGGGGTGTCAATCTCAACCACTAAAAGAACCGTATTAAAAAATCTCAGCAAATCTGTGGGTCAGCTGTTCTTTATTTCATTTTTACTTAATATTTTGCCATGACCCAAACGGGCCATTGTTTATTCAAAATATGACAAAACTACAACAGCAAAATTGGTATTAAATACTTATTAAAAAATAATTCTAAATAAAAAAATTGTTTTAGGTAGGTTTTTTTTAAAACTGCCCATTTGCTTGAACTAGACACCAGAGATGTTTTCCTTTTGTGTAACCGCTGGCCCACGGTCAGAGGGTCAGAACGCACATTATGTTGCAGTGCATGCTGGGGACTGTAACGGGCTGAAACGGGCTAGTAAGAATAGAGAATTAAAATCATTTCACAGGCTGAACAGGACTGTGTGACAGGCTTGACTTAGCCCGCAGGCCTTGTGTTTGACACATGGGCTCTAGAAGATCCTGCACAGAAAATTATAACATGAAATTGTTACAAATATGGTGTCTGATGCCAGAGATGTTGTTTCTATAACAGATTGGAGATTTTAGAATTTTTAATTACACTCAGGGCAGAGAGGTACATACGAGATTTGAGGAAAAATAATCCTAAAAGAAAACAGCTTTTCAGATTCTCCACTATTTTAACTCCAAAAACATGTATAGGTTCACTGGTCAGCAGCAAATAAAATGGCTGTATTTGTGTTGTAGGCATTGTGACCCCTGGTTCCAATCACCACCACTGTAAAGTGAACCATTTCAATTCAACACACTCGGAATTACTCTGTTTACATCTGAACCACTGAATTAAGCACAGAATTAATAAGTTTAACACTGATATATGTCATATAGATATATAGTATTTTTCTCTGTCCACTTTCCAGCCTAACTTGCCCATCTTTTCTGAGGAACCATGATGACGGTTCAGTTGATAACAAAAACATAAAACAAGGTGTGAAAATGAAAAACAAGGCAAAGAATTTTTACTCTGCATTTACTGGTAATGTCTATAAGCTCATACTCTTGCTACGCTCACAAAAACACGGTGACACAAAGTGACCTTGAGTTTGGGGATGGTATTAATGTTCTCCTCCATTAAGACCTGGTTTGTCAGTCCACGTTCCAATTATTATTATTATTATTAGACTGTTTGTGGTGGGAGAGTGCTGGGTAGACATGCACTAGGCTTTACTGTGGATTTCCCTCAGTCTGGTTCCACTTCTTTGGGGCTGGACTGGAGCTCTGTATCTAACCGGCTGGTGTGATGCTGCTTTGTGGATTTGTGAAACAGCTTTATGAGGTCCCGATAGCGTGCACCAACCTAGGGATCAAAGCAGAGCCAAAAGGAGGCATGTCCTTACCACATGACCAGGGGTACAGATGCTGAAAAGTGCAATAGGTTCTAAGACTGGCTTTACATGGTGAAACCTGCATGCAACTAGTTGCATGTTGTAAGTTGCATGCAACAATTTTCCATGCAACTTGACAGTTACACGAAGCAATTCAAAAAACAATGTTGCACTCATCATATTTTGGTATTTTTTGATTTAGCCAAATGATTTAGACATAGCGGCTCGTATTTTGGATACATCATATCGTTCTCCGGTATTTAAATATCTGTAGCATTTTTATCAGCTTTGCATAATTTGATCTATGGATCAAATTATAATGGATATGGATAACTTGTTATGTGTATGTTAATCTTTTGAAAATTTGTGTAAACAGCCATTACACTGATAGTCTATTTAAAGTCTTGAAGTGTTCATCTTGCCTCAGAAACAAGTTTATCAAGAAGCTGATGTTCAAGTCTCTTCCTCTGTAGTAATTTTCAAAATCTGAAGCTCTATTTAAAATCCCGGGTGTCAGGAAAGGATATAATAAATCTAGCCTCGAGTTCACGATAAAAGACTTTTATTTTCTTGTACACTGATCTAGTGAAATCAATCATTTGAAACTATGTTTGAAAGTATAAGTTATCTGCTTTTTGACTGGTTGTTTCATGAAACTTGTTCCACAAAGTTAAGGTGCTTGCATCTGTTGTGGCCAAATTTCAAGATGCAGGACACTTTACATTATGCAACTCAAGTGCAGTTTAGTTTCATGTAGGTTTCAAGCAACTAAAGTTGAATGGAAGTTTCACAGTGTAAAGCCAGCCTTAATATTGTGACAACTATACTTAACATACACATCTGCATAAACTGACTACATGTACAAACTGAATATGTACATATCTGGTTTTAAATACTGAAAGTACAGATGAAGATCGTACCTCATTGGCCGTTTTATTACCAAGCTGATTAGCGATAGAGCTGAAGGTGCTTTGACTGGCTCCTCTCTGCTGACAGGTGGTGAGTATCACACGATCCGCCTCCCTGTTCAAAGAGATGCCATTGAGAAGCTTTTACAGTGAATAGATACTTCAGACAAACAGCACTGTGCAATGTGAGATAACACTAAGTCCGGTATGAATGAAGGGAAGTAAACAAGCACATACAGATGCCATTTAAGTCTAAATCCATATATAGAGTAATACGTAATTTACCTGTTGCATAACATAAAGAATAGCACAGAACACAGAAGTTAAATACAACAGTTTTCTGCAAACTTTAGTGGACAGTTTCTATTTATTTGCTAGGTTTAACATTGAAAAATGATAAAACATAAAATATAATGTGTTATAAGTTTTCAAGAAAATCAAGAAAATGTCATTTGACCAGGGGTACCCAAACTTTTGCACAGCTGTTTACTACCTGCCTTTATACACAACCAAAATAAATTCATGTACCACTGCAGTTCATTTACACTGGTGCTAAAATGAATCCTTACAAAACCGCTAAACATTTACTATGTACTTTTTCTGTGTGATTTTAAATTGGTAATATTTAGCCTATATTTGTGTCACCTAATCTGAGCCCAGCTTCAAACATGCCACTGAGTGAAGAAAGAGGTCCAGAAAGCTGTTAATAAAATTAAACTTTAATTTCTAACCTTGTCCAGAGCACAACCTTTTCCCCACTTGGCATACGTGAACAGTTCTTGGCACAGACAGGACTTCCTGAAGCTTGGCAGCGGAACTGCGTATCTCTCTCCCGGGTCCATTCATCCTCCAGCTCTGCACCAACGCCATGGCACTCTGCATTCTGGGTTATTACATCAACCCTCTGCAGTGGAAAGAACAAAACAATATACTTAATTAACATTAACATATCATTAAAGTCACATTTATTTCACAACCATTCTGTATACATTAACATTCATTCTGGAAGACAGAGAAGGAGAAGACTCTGGCTGCAGACATGCACTCTCGGCCTGACATGCACTGCCAGCCCATATGTCAGTGCACGCCCTGCCACAACAGAGTGTTTGTCGGTTTTATGAGGAAAAACAGCGAAACACGTACTGCTGGGCAACAAGAGTTACACTGAATGTATATTTACTTTGTCATACTGATAATACAGTAATTAAATATGGAAACTTTCAAAATAAAACCTTCCACTATGATAAGACACAATGTTGGGTTTATTCGCTGAAAAAACAAACAGGCTAACGGAACTGCTGGAACTCATGAAAGTCATGCTGAAGATGAGGAGAACCATTAGGAAGCAAAACCATCAGGAGTTGGCTTGATGGTTGCTGTTAGAGTCCATTAGTAAACAATTGTATCTGGAATCAGTCCCAAAACACCCGATTAAAAGGATTTGAATCCTTTACACTGTGATATCAACCCATCAGGAAAACAAAGAATACCATTAGCGACTACTGAAAACCACCAGGAACCAACAGACACTTTTTATAGATTTTATGACTCTTTACAACAGGGAGGGACATTAAATGTAATTCTCTAGCTGTTTTATGTACAAAAATAGATCAAGTGATGATATCGCTAAGCAGCAGCCGCCAAAAGTTAATGTGCCATTTGGCTGCTTCTGCTGTTGTGGCAGAGAGTGCACGCCCACATGACGTCACTGGGGCTGAGAGTGCATCTGTCTGAGAGTGCGTGTCTGCAGCCAGACTCTGTTGCAGAGAAGACGTTTTAGCTCAAAAAGTTTCATCATGCAAAACGTCGGAGGGCTTTAGAATTATTTGTGGAACATCTGGAACATTTTGTTAACACCGTCAATCACAGACATGAATATTCATGAGCAGTGAGAAAGGTTCAGAAACCAGTCCCCTGTGGGGTCCAGTGGCATCGTTCCTGGAAAAAGTTTTAGTGATTTTAAGATGACATTCTGAGACTAAGTGTTACTGCTGTAGAATTCTGTAGTTCACTGAGCTCAAATACTATGCAAATACAAGTCCAAATACTGTTTTGTGGGCATTTTAATTTATTTGTAAATATTTGTTTAGAAAAATCTGTTGCTTAGCATATGAAGGTTAAAAGATCAATGTGGAATTTGGTAGACTCTATCTCCTATGGAGACCCGACATCCACTTTTTATAGAAGCCATTCTAAAAACATAATTTGTGTTCCACTGGCTCCATATGGTTAGTTTGCTTGGACCCCAATGATTGCCACTTGTGATGTAATTTGTACGCAGTCGTTTAGCTATCATAGCGGTTACAGTTCAACAGTTCAGTTGGAACATTATCTTAGTTCAGATTGGCCTTTTATCTGCCTCTCTTGAAACATTAAAACTCTTCAGATCTATATGATTCTTATGAATGGCATGTTTAGCATTCCCAATGGTGAATTTTGCGGAAAAGCGACGAGTTTGCATGTAAACAATTCAGTTAACATTAGTGTGGCTCTAGCTGGATCCTCCAACCCACAGTTAAAAGAGAATTCCACCAATTTTTCAAAAATTTCTTGCATAATTCAATAGTGAAAATGTAAGTGAGTGGTTTGATGGAAGATGCTCTGTCCGAGAGAAACTTACTGAATTGTCAGAAGCGGTGCTGATAGGAACCAGACGTCCTCTAAAATCCTCTATGAACTCCTCTAACATCCTTCTTACAGAAAGTTATGATATGAAACGTTTATGAATGCCTGATGTCTGAGACAGTGTTTTATGATAGCGTTGAGGTTTGATTTTGGCCTAAATTTTTTTTCTAAAAGCCATTCATGGTAGACAGGTACATGCAGGGTGTTGTAAGACACAGTAGACCCCAAAGAAAATGTCTTTTGTTTTAGAATCATTACATCAAAATCTCAGAAGACATGTGTAGGTTTACTGTTTTGGGTACTAAAAAAAGGGCTATATTTGTGTTGTAGACATCATAACCCCTTGTTCCTGTCACCACCACTGTAAAGAAATCTGAGTCAGTAAGTTGGACCATACATAGACCTTCAGCAGGGGATGTAGGACAGGGCCCTTTAAATAAAATCTGTGGATTTCATTCAGATTAACATTACACTTACTTTTTAAAGTCTACTATACAAACATTACCTTGCAGTCAATATGACTTTTGTGAGCTTCTGTTCTCTCCTCAGGAGAACAGGCTCCGATAGGCTCACACACGCTCTGCACTGTCTGAACACTTGAAACACTATCAGTGTCGTCCCACTCCACTTCTTCCTCTTCCTCCTCTCCATCATCAGTCCGACACTGCGCAGGTGGGTGGAGCTGCTCAAAAAACGCCCAGTACTCCTCCAGCAGGTGGGTGTGGTCACGGAACAGCATAGCTATTTGTGCTTTCATCTGAAAATGAAGAATAAAGACTAGATCATTCAATGAAGACAGTAAAGACACACACAGTCGAGCTGTTAGTGTTTGGGTTGTAATGACCTCTTGTGAGCCAGTTAGGGTTTTAGAGGGGCCCTGTTGCAGCGTGCGCACGACCCTCCTGTAGTGGACAGAGTGCTCTCCGAAAATGAGCTCCAGCTGCCTCAGGAACCGCCTGCTTCTCTCAAACGCCTGCTGCTCCGCCAGCTACAATTAGAAAACACCAAACAAGGTGTCACAACAGCTGGTCTAATATAGCCCAAAAGTTAAGCAGTAATAAATCTTAAAATAATTATAATAACATAAATAATAACACTTCTTCCTTTCAGAGACATCCTTTCCATTTCTAAAATGTATCAATATAATTCTTACAGTATCATATGTGAGTGGAGGCCAACATGACAATAATCATCGTCATCGCAATATACTTCTCTAAGCACATCACAGACATTGTCAGTACCTAAAGAGCACTGACTGCAATTTTTTATAAAGAGAATATAGTTTGTCCTGTTTAAGTGGATTTAGTGCAGTACAGCAAGTAAAACAAATGAAATCACTGAATTCATAGTTTTTTTTTTTTAAATGTGGTACTAATGGTGCTTGTTTGTCATTTATCAAACCTCAGAAAAATGTAATACTGTGATGTGTATCGTGTACTGAGATGTCTTATGAGTACTGTGATGTTATAATTTTGCACCAACAACCACTCTTAGTCTTTCTTTTTAGCAGATATTTACTGGTATTACTTGTATTTATTAGCCTTATTATATGCATTGTTGTTTATGGAAGATTTACTTGGAGCGATTTCTAAGCGTCTACTCTTCATGACATTTTCACACAACGGGAAGGGCAGCCCAAATTATGTAAAAGACAAAAAACAAAACATAGGTTCTGGCCTGACAATCACAATATATCACTGCTTGAAATATTTCAAAATACAATCTTTTTTCAATTTGGTGTTTCTATTATATTTCTCTCTTACCAGGCCACACGCCTGAGCTTGTTCTGGGTGCAGGAAAGCAGCGAAGTCTCTGAGGAGCTCAGGCCAGTCTCTTAGCACAGGCTTCAGCCTCATAAAGAGCTCCACTGACGTTCTGCCTTCAGGGTCCTGCTCAAACTCATACAAAACACCCAGGAACTCCTCCACCTTCCCTGGCACTGTCTGCAGCACCTCACATGCCTAAAGACAGTACGAAAAGGAGTAGAGCAGGCTTCAGAGAGGCTAATTATCCAGCTCAAGAATTCCAAAATAAAACCTTTTTACAAGACATAAAACTGGATAAAACCGGAAATGTACCAGAGCTACAAATCACAGAAGCATACTGGAACATATCTCCCAAATACTCAAAGTAAAAGATAAAAATACCGCCCAAAATAAAGAACATAATGCTTAAATGCATACGGAATATAAGCAGATACATCAACATTACTTGCCTTCTCCAGATAAGCCTGAGCAAACGCAACATCTTTAGTATCTCTCCGAGGATCATTGTCAGATAAGTCATCATAGAGAAGCCGTTCCACTGAGCAGCCATGAAGAGAATTTCACTAAATTATTCAGGTATAGTTCACATAATCAACAGAATAATACAGCAAACAAGGAAACATTTGGAATATATATCATAAAGACACAAGGTCAACCTGAGGCATGACAACCTGACTGGACTTCATCTGCAAATCTTTTATCGTCAGACCCCGGTTCTGATGCCAGCCTTGATAACTTCTCCATTGTCTCCTTGTAAATTTAAAAAAGAGAAGATTTTAAAGCACTGCTTCAGAACAAAAATGTATTTTCCAAAAAGGTCAGAAGATTTAGCTTACACATATATTACATAATATATATACATATATATATTTTTTTTTATTTTTACCCGATTTTTCTCCCCAATTTAGTCGTCTCCAATTCCACCCGCTAGTTAGGACTCCCCCAGTCACACGATGCTATCAACGCTAGGAGGGTGAAGGCTAACACAGGCTTCCTCCGAGACCTGTGAGGCCAACCACCGCTTCTTTTCGAACTGCCGCTCATGCAACGTCACTGGACAGCCGAACGCGCTCGGAGGAAAGCGCCAACCGCCAGATCTGTTACGTCAGCTAACAGACGCCTGCACCGACTAGCATCGCGCTGAGTGATGGAGGGAGAAGGAGGGGCCATCCTACCCATCCAGAGAGAGCGAGGCCAATTGTGCTCTCTCGGACTCCCGGCTATGGACGGCTGTAGCATCACCAGGGATTGAACTCGCGATCTCCTGATGATAGGGCCAACACTTAGACTCTACCAGCACGGCTTTAAAAGAGTTGGAAAATGTGTTGAAACATCCACTTAACATACTCTCTGATGTCATTTTTCCAAAGTGTTCACTCTCGGTTTGAAATAAAGACCCATGGATTTTATTGCAGTGATAAAATGTGATAACTTGTATTATAGACGTCTGCAAAACAAATCAACTCACCTGAAGCTCCGGCACAGACAACACAGATGTCTCAGAAGCAGGTGACATCACTTCCTCTACTGTCCTCAAGCGCTTCTCTTCTATTTCTCCCTCCATGTCTTCTCTAACCCTTCCTCCTTCACTACACCCAGGCTGTCTCTGGTCCCTTCCATCCTCATCCATCACTGTCTCCATGGCAACATCGTCCCCATACAAACTAGGTGTGGGGCTTCCTGAGCTTTCTGACAAGGTGAGGAATGGTTTTCTAAAGCCTTCCTCTCCGCACTCCTCCTGTTCCTCCTCATTAGCAATCACCTCATCGACATCCAACTCTTCTTCCTCTACTGCTGTCAGTAATGCACTGTCTTTAATGCTGGCTTCCAGACCTTTATTTGAGGACACCTCTAGCAGAACTGCATTATGTCCCCTGGAAATGTTCCCTAAAACACTCTGAGTAACATCTTCCATCTCTGTCGTCTCCTGAGCTACACAGGGTTTCTGGTTGTGAGCTGTAACTGGCTCATGGTTCAGAATAGTGTTGTGACTTGCACTGTTTGTAATAATACAGCCTGGAGGGAGTATAAGAAACTGATGCAGAGTATTTTGAGATACAGACTTTGGAGGATTTGGGCCTAGAGGGACTCTTGGTCCTGTGCTTAGCTTGAGTAGGGTGCCACAACGCTGACTCATGCAGTCTTTAGCCAAAGAGGGGAGGACAGAAGGCGTTTGGGGCGCTACCTTAGTGGCTGGTGCAGGACATATTAAGGCAGTGGCCACCGCAGCAGTAGGTAAGATGATGACATTGCCTTGGCTAGAAGCTATTTGTGCAGCACTTGAGCCTGTTTCACTGGTTTTCACAGCTAGATCCCCTAGAGAGGGTAGGTTCAGGCTGGTGGCCACTGGAGCAGTAGGTAAGGTGAGAATATTTTCATCCCGTGGGCCTACTAGAGCTACATGTTCAGCGCTAGAACCTGCAGTATGTGTTTCTTTTGTTGTCACAACCACGTTCCCAAGAGAGGGTGGCTCCACTGGAGCAGCAGTTAAAGTTATGACAAGTTTTCCTTGGTTTTGATCTGCTGGGTCATTAAACTTAGAGGTTACCATCTGGGTTTCTCCAGTACTTTGAGCACTTACAGTTCCAAGCTTAATCTTTGGCTTCTTCCTCAAGGAATTAAACTGAACAGTCTGACCTCCAAGTTGGTCAAGGTGAGCAGACTTTGGCAAAATGGGTGGGAGACGACCGAGGGCTTCCACTACATCTTTTGAAAGTGGAGGAGCTTTGGGAGGTTCAGTGGACTGATTCAAAGTCAGTGCAGAAAGCTTAACCGAGGCTTTTCGTCTCAAGGAACCAGGAGGAGGAGGCATAAGAGCCATTGCAAGGGTCTCTGGCAGCCAGGGAGGGTATTGGGTACCTGGGGGGGAAGTACAGGATGAAGAAGCAGGTTCTGGGGTGGCAGAAGGGGTAGCAGGAGCTACAGTGGTATGCAGGTCTTTATGCTTGGCAGACTGAGAAGTGGCAAGTTGCTGGTTGTATTTCTTCACTTCTTCATAAATCAGCTTAAGGTTTTCCTGTGAGAGAGAAAGTGTGAGAAGGGTAGGTATACAACTTATGCAACTGTGTTTGACAGAAGTCAGTATAAAGTAAAGTGATAAGAATGGAAAAAGTACACAGAATGGCAAACAACAGTAGAGAAGCCTGTAATTTTATCTCTAATTGGTGAAGTATAAGCGACCCATTACTTGTTGGCTACAGCACTGTGGAAAAGTCAGAGACTCATTATTACCTTACTAAATTTTCTGTTATTCATTTTTCAGGAGATCTTTCTGAGGAGATCAGATATGTGACAACAACCCACTTGCATAAGAAAAAGTGGAAGCTTTTAGAAAATAACTGCAAAAAGCTGTCACTTCTAAAAGTAGATTTAAAAAAAGCACTGAAAGACAGAAACTGGACTCCTTATAACTGTGCAAGACCTGATGGACCACCGAAACTGTCCCCATCAGATAAACAGCAATTAAAAACTGCATCTTTGAGAGAGAGGAGAAAATCAAGCTGGTGTTTTTGTCCATCCTTCCACTGTGAAAAGACAACTCAGCGCTATGGGTCTGAAAGGATGTATAAAACAAATAGACAACAAGAAGAACAAATGCAAATCAAACAAAGAAGCTGCTGGTGTTCTCAGAACAATGGACTGACCACCCCAGAGTCCAGACCTCAACATTACTGTGGTTGGGATTACTTGGATCATGAGAAGCAGAAAATGCAACCAACTTCTAAGACTGAACTTTGGAGGTGTGGAAAATATCCCTGCAGATTTCTTTGAGAAACTGAAAGTGAGTCTTCTGAAAAGAATGGAAGCTGTAATAAAGGTAAAGATGGACACAATAAATATGAAACATTTTGATATTTCATTGTTGAGGCTTCTGTGTAATTTTCTGTTACATGTACGGTTTCTGATTATTCCTGAGACTGAAAAATGAATAATTTGTACTTAATGGTTGTTTTGACTGAAAATTAAACAAATGAATGGCGGTCTGTGACTTTTGCACACCTCAGACAACTAACATGGCTTGGCTGATCCCCTATAAAAGGGGAAAGTGAGTAAACTTTTTTTCTGTTGCTTTGAATCACGCAGACAGAATTTCCATTTTATTTTTATTGATTTCACTAGTTACTGTGTGTCTTTCAGAAGAATTAGAACAATTTTTACCGAAAGCCAATAAGGCATGAGGCGCTTCTCTCTCTCTACTGGGGGTCGCAGGTCATCGGGACTGACTCTTTCGCAGGCCACAGGCATAAAGGGATATTTACCTTCTAGAAAGTAATTCTGAAAACACACAGAAAGAGCACTTAAAGACAGGCTGGAGGAATCATGGGATAAAGGTAAGTCACACAGCCTTTTTCACATGTTGTGCCATAAGATATTGGCTGTTAACAAACCTTTATGATGCTGGGGCTTTGTTTTTGACATGCACTGCGGATGTGGGCTCTCAAACAGACGAAGTTCCTAGCAACAAGCAGGTAATGACATGCCAGCTGGAGTGGGTGCAGAGTACCCTGAAAGTGTTTATGGCCCAAAACTATCAAACTGTAACAGAAGAAAATGGGAAACAGAATCCAGTCAACTTATATATATTCTTCAGGAAATACTTTTTGCTATGTGATTAATTTGTATATAACAGTGCAGCTAAGTACTCTCAGAGATAGCTGTGGGCAATATGATGGTATGTTATTAGAGGAGTACATTTTCCTGAGCATATGATAAGTATAATCAATACTTCTGGAACACGTAACAACTGAAGAGATCATGAAAACCAGATTTAGATGAAAATTTTTACTACAGAAATGATAGTAACTTCATTAACTGCATAACTGATTGATTTTTGCCTCCTGTTCATTCTTAAATTAATTTTGAAAACACAAAATTAAAAAGAAATGACTGCAGTCAGATGCAGTAGATCACTGCCTTTTTTATGTGGCGCTACTGTTTTACTGGTGTATTTTGTCTGTTCCAAGTTGTCAGGAGAAAATAAATATAGTGTGTGCATAATATGCATTGAGCAAAGTGATGGCTGCTCAGCTCTGTACACGTGATCTGGCAGCCGCCCACTGTCTAGCACAGCTGTAAATTAACTGGACAGGGGAAGTAAACCAGTCTTCTCATGTAGCTACAACACAGGATTAATGATACTCTACTGGACTTTAAATTATCACTATGCTCTTATTTGTTTGTTTATATATTTAGTGCCTTTCTCATTCCCAAGGCCACTTTACAAAGTAGCATGTATTATAAATGAGTCTCACATAAGAACATGGCCCACCAGTTCTCTGCTGAGGTGAAGGGTCCCTTGTAATGAAAAGTAGACAGGTTAGCCTCCGAAAGCAGCTCAGGATAGAGGAAAACTGGACGTGTGGCCATCAACCATGCCAAATGAGCCGGAATCTGGGATCCTACAGAATACCATTGAAAGTCAAAGTAATTATAAACAGCAGTATAAAGGATTACAACATACTGTGGACAGGGAAAGAAGAAAGCTGCAGTTCATGCACTTTAAATGAAAGAAAACACTAAAACCTGATGATAGGGCTGACACTCCTGTTCTACAACGACTTAAGTCTTCAACCGAAGTCTTTGGCTAGATTGCTACAGAATTTCGAATGAGATTTTAAAAAGAAAAAAAAAAAACCTTTCTAAACCAAAGTAGGGCTGTCATGATTCCTCTATTATATATGATTACTTAATGTATCTTCAGAATGAATATGCAATAATTACGATAATGCATATCATAGATACTCCTACTTAATTTTATCGAATTACTTGGTTAATCATCAAAATAACTGTTTATTTACTCAGGTACTGATATAATTGTAACTACAGCCCTAAGTACGGTTGTGGACAATACCTGCACTGCACATTTTAGTGTTTCCCAAACTCTAATGCGCCCACTTTAACTCATGAGTGGTTCTGTAACTGGATAATGAGTTGAGAGCAGGAAGAAAAACTCAAATGTGCAGTGCAAAGGTGCTCTGTGGACTGTAAAAATGATAAAAGTGCTCTGCTTCACCTGAGAACAGTGGACCCTGGCCCAGAGCGTCAATTTTAGGAGAGTGGTCTAACTCTTCAAGCAAGTCGAGCGCAGCCTGTAGGTTACAGGCTCTGAAGACACTAACAAAACCAGGCTCTGTTACACTCTGCGCCTGCTCTGCCCGCTGAGCAAAGAACTGCAGCTCTAACTGGGAGACAGAGGGAGAGACAGAAGCATAGAGTTTAAAATGCAATCAATTGTGCAACTCAAGCAACCTCTAAATGGCAAAAATCAATATAACATTAGTGCCATAATAGGAACAGCACACAGTAGAGTAAGGGGGACCTGTATGGGTTGGGATAATGCTTCCAACTTCCTACAGTGTTTGGTTACATCCTGTTCCATTAACATACTAGCCGTGCAACCAGTAGTGAGACACTGAGATGTGTAATAATGGAACAGTCAAAGACAATGGAAAAATAATAATGATACATATACTGCTCTACACTGCTCCTATTTGGTTTATAAGCTTACCGAAGAAGAAATTAGTCGCATGCATCATTTTGTTTCTAATACTAGGTTATGTATCCCCTTAGGCCCAATCTCATTTCGTTCCTCGCCCCTACCAGTCCATTTTTTGCATTCACGTCTAGGGGCAGGGTGTCCCGATTTTTGTTGAGATGAAGGGGTAGGGTGAAGTGTTAGGGCCATAGGGATATGGCCCTCCAAACAGAGGTTTTCAGAGTCACACTCCAAACAGAGTGTTATGAGAAAGAAGGAAAAACCGGCAAGATTGCGGCACAAGTGACCAGAGAAACCCACAAAAGTGAGCAATTTCTCTGTTAAAAATTACAACAACCATTGTATTATCTTAGTTTAATGTCGTTTCAATGTATTATTGAATTGTGTTTCTTCATTACAAAAGTGAAAAAATCGCTAGCAGAGTGCTGATGTCTTGGTAGCTGGCTAGCTAAATGTCCTGTTAAAAGGTGCAGCAGTTACTTTCTGGTGCCTCAGGTTGTCGGAACTGCTGCTCCATTTAAAATGGAACGAAAAATTCATACAACAGGCTTACGAATAGCTGACTTCAGCTTCATATCACTGAAGAATTAGGGGTGGGCAATAATGAATAATTGTTGCAAGGGCCCCCTTTGAAGGCATATGATGCCCTAAATATAACTAAAGCCCAGCAGTGAGGAGCTGAACTTTACCCTCCTCTGCTATCACTGCAGACTGGCAGGGTCGCCTACAGAGCAGTGCTGGTAGCTGTTAATGAAGTAATGTTCTTTTTGTTTGAGGGTCCCATTTCATAGGGAAGATTTCAACCACCACCCCTTGTAACTCAGTTCCAAGGGGCAAGATGACACTTGAAAACAAGGGGTAGGGGTAAAACTAAGAAATGGGATTGGGCCTTACTCTAATTACAGCAGCAATCCTGTCAGGTCAAGTCTCTTGAGATCTTGAGCTCCTGCCCATTTTAGCCCCATCTTCCACTAACTGGGTGCACATTTCAGCAACTGGATGCTTAACCAGGTATTATCTATGCAGGTGTGCGAGTTTTTTCATTTGGGAACCTTATTTGGAGTAAGACTGACTGTGTATGTGTGTGAGGGCATGTCTTACCAGAAACTGTCTAGCAGTGCAAGCCTCAGTCTGTAGGCCCTTCGTCGACCTGCTCAGCATGTTCACCTGTGTCAGTAGCTGCACATGCTGAAACACAACATACAAGACATTTCACACTATAGCAAAAGGTAAATATATTCCTTACAGCACATTTTGGCTACATTCACATTACCAGCTTGAAGTGGCACAAATCCGATTTTTTGCCCTAATGCGACTCAGATCTGATGTTTTCATGGCTGTGTGGACACGCAAATCTGATCTTTACAAATCCAACCTGAGCCACTTTCATACGTGGTCCTAGATCGGATACATATCTGATTCGTGGCCATGCGACCTTAATGTGACGCTCAGATCGGAATTCATGTGCTTTTTTTTCACTGCACGTGCACCATCATTCAGCGTTACCATGGCAGCAGCGCCGAACAGAAGTTAAAGCCTGTAAACGGCGGAAAAGCAACACATTTCACCTTTTTCGTCTTTGTCTTGCTCTAATAATGAAGCTGAGAGCTGATCAGAGTTAATTATCTTCTCAGTGAAGCTCGTTCTGCTCGTGAGTTTGTGCTGATGATGCACGTGATTCATTCACGTGACGTTACTGAGTAAGATGTGCGCATACGGGTCATTTCAGGACGCCGGTTCGTTCACATTAATGACAGATTTGAATCAATTACCTAAACGAGTGCAGACAATCGTGTCAGAGAGATCAGATTTGAGCAAAAAATCGGATTTGAGCAATGGGGCTTGTAATGTGAATGTAGCCTATGTTTTTCTCAGTACTTTTTCTACCTGGAAAAAAAAAATGTGAATCTTTGGTTAACAGGTTTTTAATATTTTGTTTATCTCTTAAATCTCTCTTTTGTACAGAATTTTTTGATTTATTGGTATATTGTCAATTAACCACATTCAGACACTTAAAATGTTCCCTGGCCGGTATGAACGTGTAGTTAATTTGAGAGTGAGTGGCTCTTTTCTATGTTTATATCCCATAGGGGGCAGTGTAACTTCAGGAATAAATTCACTACTGCCACTATTAGTTGGCAGCAGATCTGTCTCTTGACCTGCTGGATGTGCTGCTGGAGATGAAGTTTCTGGGCATGAGTGAGACGCAAGGGGCCACTGGGGACACTGGGGCCACTGGGGCCGCTTGGGCTTGTGGGGCTTTTGGGGCGTTTAGGTCTTGGAGCGGGTATGGGTATGCCTTTACTCTCCAGCAGAGCCTTCCGCTTACGAATAGCTGCCAGCTGCTCTTTTACTGTTCGGTATCGCTGTTTCAGGATGTCTGCTAAAGGATCCTCATACCTGCACACACGGATCAGATACTCTTAATATACAACAAGCTTCAAGCTCCGGAGCTGCTCAGAGACACAAGTAAACATACAGTTTCACAGCACATATTCATTCAAACAGTAAAAGAAATGAGAGATTATAATTCTGCGTAACTAAAGTGTTCAGATGTAAACCAAATCATTCAGAGTGTTCGGATGTGAAATGCAGCTTTCCAGAGACAGAATAGTTCACAGCAGTGGTGATAAGGAATGTTTGATGCCTCCAAAACTTCCTCCCATTTTTAACAGCTAATAAATTTATTAACTACTATATAAAATGACATGAAGTTGGTATGAATACAATGTCTGGCAGTGGCTGATATCATTCTATGATGCTATTGAGATGTACCACCGTTGCAAGCTCCATCCCCCCACTTTTTCATAAAACATTAGAAAAACACAAAAGACACACACAGGTTCACTGGCTGTTTCAAATACAATGCCTATATTTGCGTTCTAGACATTGCAGCCCCTGGATCTCATTGCCAGTACCGTTAAGAAACCAATTTCACATCAAATCACTCTGAATAACGTTCTTCACACCTGAGTGAATAAATTATGCCAAAATTAAAAAGTAAAGTAAAATTCCCCATGATACAGATTAACATGCTGCAGGGTTAATAAGAACCTAAGAGTAAATGTAGTTGTGAGGAGTTGAGGACTCTAATGACAGAGAGGCAAGTGCTGATTAAAGTATAGATTAATCCGATAAACCAAGATTACAAATCAAGCTGACGACTGACATTTCTGAATAAAACAGCATTATGTTAATTATTGCTCTTTTGTTCTTTTTCACATACAATGTAATTTTGTTTTTATTTCTTTGCCTTTATTTAAGCATTGCCTTTGGTTCAAAATGGGAAATAGAAAACATTGTACTTAACTCTGGGCTATAAAAACAAAACAAAATAATTAACTACTCACATACATACTTTGATCACCACTCGCAAAGATTATAATGTAGACTGTCAGCCTAGCAAAGAATGTTGGGGATTACGCAAACGACAACAGGCTAGTTTGGAATTATTTTGGTTTCCAATCGAATTAACACAGAAAACCACTGGATGTTAAGAGTGTTACATGCCACATATGTGGAATGTAGCTCTCTTTACAAATCATAATTTAATAAGCAATATAACATGCTACTCCTGTTGGTAATTACATGATAATTACCATTTAGATCACAATAAAATAATTTATCACTTGTCAAAATTTGCATTTTCGTCCAATCTCAAGATGTTCTGCGTGGGATGTTCTATAACCTTTTTCCTGAATTCAGCAATTCAAAAGGAGATTATTCTGGGTGAGAAAAGTCTCCATATTTATTTATTGCTTTCCTTTTCTATTCTGCTGGTACAAGTAAAAGCGATAGACGGATGTTTGCAGCAGATTATTTTGGAGGCATATGCACAAATTCCTAACTGCTCCTATTGTGCCACTGTGTTACCATATCAAATAAAGAACACATTGACTTACATAAGCAGTGAGTTAATATGTAATAAACATTTAATAAGCAACCACCACTAACAACCATATAAATTGGAGAAGGTACTGAGAGTTGTGTGTCTGTAATGCATGCCCTGTCTTGCTCATGAGTGGTGAAAGCAAGTCTTACTGAATTGTTTCCAGAATACTGGGAGGTTCTTGCTGGGTAGCGTCGTCTTCTTCTTTTTCCTCTTCTTCTTCATGGCCTTCTTCCTCCTGACACCCTAATTCGTCTTGAAACTATGGAGTGGAGGCACAGTGCTTATTACAGCAGCCAAGACAGATGAAAACTACAACAAAGAGAGAGATAATAACCACTGAAAACAGTCATTTCTTACTGCATCAAAGAGCTCCTCCATCAACTCATTCACTTCCTTTTCTGGAAAAAAAAGAGGTGCATATGAGGAGTAAAGTCAAATACACTGTACAACATCCAACTACTGCCTGTTGCAGCCTCCTTCACCTTCATCTCAGCTAATGATGTCTCACTAAGTAAATTTTATCTTAGAGGTAAGTAACCCCTTCAAGGCCTTGGCCAGATCTGAAAATGAAGAACACACTTCTGCGGATGTCTAGATGTTGGTTACTCACTGGTGATGCGCACTGCCTTGTCATTCCTGTAGTCCTCTACATCCGGCTCATCAATGTCAGCCAGAAAATTATACTCCGGATCATCTTCATCATCGCCCTCCTCTAACAGGAAACAGACAGTGTGCGATGTTAGTAACAGAACAATAACTTACATTCTCAAAGCTTAAAAAGAGAAAAACAGGCCTCTTAAAAATCAAACCCCTCCAAATAAATTACACATTTAAGTTGTTTCACATTCAAAAACACGGCTATGTCATTTCATGTTTCTTCTTCCTTCTCCTTTAACTATCACTCTCTCTGAATAGCTCATTGCTTACCCCTGAAATATGAACTTCACATAAAGCTTTGTATTTCTATTTGTATAATGAATAAAAAGTCATTAGCAGATCCAGCACCATTTAAAAGTGACCCCAGTACACAGATCAGTTCAACACTGGGTTAAATATTAGATTTGACTGATCACCTTCATTCTCCACATCAGAGCTCATGAGGCCCTGAAGCCACCGTGTCCACTCTACGTCCTCCGGGGCAGAGCCTTGCTCATACATGTCCGGTGTGATGTCAGGAGCTCGAAGCTCCGCCTCCAGACGACCCAGTGGCACGTCTCTCAGTGGACGTTTGGAACGAGTGCGAAAAGCCATCAGACTGTCTTCTCCACTACTGCTGAGAGACTGAACACAGGGAGAGAGAGAGAGAGAGAGAGAGAGAGAGAGAGAGAGAGAGAGAGAGAGAGACAGACAGAGAGAGAGACAGAGAGAGAGAGAGAGAGACAGAGAGAGAGAGAGAGAGATCTGTTAAAAACATATTTGTTAAAAATTGTTAACGAATATATAATTAGTGGGTTATTTAGCATAATTATAATAAAATAATGCTATAATTGTAATTACACTAATTAATATTATTGTTAATTGCTTTTTCTTTACATAGTTATTTTTATTGTTCATTTTTGTTGTTATAATGTTTTGGCAATATTGTACTTCACACATCCATCCATCCATCCATCATCTAAACCGCTTATCCTTCTGGGTCGCGGTGGGGTCATTGGGTAGAAGGCAGGATACACCCTGGACAGGTCGCCAGTCCATCGCAGGGCAGACATATACATTCACACACACACACACACACACACACCTAGGGGCAATTTAGCATGTCCAATCAGCCTGACTGCATGTTTTTGGACTGTGGGAGGAAACTGGAGTACCCGGAGGAAACCCACGCAGACACGGGGAGAACAGGCAAACTCCACACAGAAATGACCCTGGTCGCCCGGCCGGGAATCGAACCCAGGCCATCTTTGCTGTGAGGCGACAGCGCTACCCACTGCGCCACTGTGCCGCCCTGTACTTCACACAGTAATGCTAATAAAGGAATTCTGAATCGAACAGAATTGAAATCACCTTCAATCAGCCTGCAACTGTTTTACTCAATTTTAGTTAACTTTTAAAGTGGATTTTGGTATGTTTTAGTTATCGTTTCATTTTTATTATTCTGTTTTTATCTATTTTAATATTGCTTTACATTTTTTATTTCCTCATTTATTTAATTAATTATATTTTTCATTTAGCCTTATTTTATCTTATTAAATTACTATATTGTTGTAATTTTAATGGTTTATTGACTTTTTTATTTACTACTATGATTATCATTACTTTTTAGTGTTTGCTACGTTTTTACAATTTATTTTCTCAATCCCTGATTTCTGTATGGGCTTGACTACATTGTAAATGAGGGTCTCCCTCAATGTACTCGGAGTATAAATAAAGGTTGGCTGATTGATTGATCAACTGAGACAAAAAAAAGAGACATTTAATAAATAAATAAATAGTATATTCATATCACAAGTAACTTATCATCTATTCATGCAATACATTGTCTTATCTTAACTGAACTACAATTTCTGTTACAGCCTCTTTAAACAGTTCAATAAATTTGTTAAAAATGCTGTTAATCTACTAATAATCAACACAGTAGAGTTTTTCAAGCTACCTGGTATGTGTCCATACAGTCAGAGCCGATGGCCAGCTCCTCATCCACGGCATGAAGTTTCTCCATGAAGCTGCACTCTCTTGACGGCCCTGAAGGCTCTGGACCCTGAGGAGGTGGTGGGGGGCCCATGGGCACTACCTCAACCCTCAGATGCCTCGCTCTGCGCAAGCTCTAGGAGAAAGAAGGAAGATATTTTGTACAATGTGTGTCTTTATATGGATGCACAACTTTTTGGTTAGAATAGAAATATCTGCAGAAATATCCACAGTTTTAACTATAACTCACTTGTAAAAATTAACAAGCAAGTAAATAAATGAACTAGTGATGAAATTTCTGCAAGGGACAAACGACTTTCTCAAGGTGTGAGATACCTGTCTGGGGCTGCAGCTGTTTTCTCCATCGTATTCACTGAAGGATCTGCTGATGCTTATTCGAGTGCCCCGTGGTGACGACGCTGTGCTCTCTAAATCACTTTCCAGTAGCGTCTACAACACACAAATACCGTGTCTGAAATACTGAGTATCTATATCAGCTGAGGACAAAGTTTCAATGACTGACAACATATGTTTGCAGAAAATTCTCACTCACATCTTCTGCTGTCTCGTCATCTTCTTCTTCATCAGGGCAATACTCCTCATCAGAGGAGTCTTCCTCTTCTAATGGAATGTCCACAAACTGGGGACCCTTCAAATAAACCCATATTAGATTATATTCATTAATACAATATTAATAATGTAACCAGAATTAATTCTAAACTGCAGTCTGCAGGGGAGCTTTTAAATTACCGTCATTTTGTTGGGCTTCTTAATTGGTGAAATGTTCCAAGTGGGAATGACCTACAAGATAAACGAATAAGTGAATAATTCTTCAGATGAATGTATCTTCCAAGCATGCACTTTATGGTCATCTCTTTCATATATGCACTTCTAATGGATTTGATACAGTATGGCAAAATAAACAAACATTCAAAACAGTGTACTGAAATTGTACGCTCTTCTGAAGGTCTCTCATTCACTATCTCTTGTGGAAACCACTGCCAGTGTTTAAAACTATCTATGCCTAAGGGCATCTTACCAGAGTAAAGGGGGAGGGCGGGGTGGCAGGGCTTACGCTATGCATGCACTCACACCCACATGACTTCACAATTAATGCCCGGCAGCATTGTTACTTAGAGAAAAAATTCGATTTAAGTTTAACATGAAAAATTTTAAGGTGTAAATGCTGTGGAATTACTGAGTTCATTGAGTTTCGTTTGTGTCCTACAGGCTGCATAAGATGCACTGTATTTTTTCTTTTAGCACATATAGACACCTTACTGTACATATTGCACTTTCTGCACACCTTATCGCACATCTTGCACATCTGGACACTCCACACCTAGATACTTTTATTTCAGTACCAATATATGCACATATTTATTCAGTATTGTCATTTTATGCTGTTACCTGCGCCTCCATGTACATTCATTACTGCACTGCCTTTATTATCTCAGGTTATAGATCTTACTGCAGATTTCTGTATATTTCTATTTGTATATATGCCTGTAGATAGTTTTTTTGTATATATTCTTCTTTTTATATTGTATCACCCTTTTTATTATGACTGTCCTGTTTGGTTTGACTGCTACTGGCTGCTAAATTTCCTTCGGGATCAATAAAGTATCTATCTATCAATCTATCTATCTGTCTGTCTATCTATCTATCTATCTTGTACTTGGACCCCAATAATCGGCACTTGCAATGTAATTTGTAGATGGTCACTAAGCTCCCAACGCTGTTATGACAGTTCACAGAAATCAACATGTTTAATAACAATTTCATATGCAAACTAAACAGAGTCTAATTGTCTGGATTGCAAACAACGATAATTTGTGCATATTAACCTTCTACAGCTTGGTGCTCCAAAGCCACTGAATAAAGAAATCTGAATATGTGAAAAAGCAACCACAAACGCTTTCTTTGTACGTTTTGGTAATAATATCTTAGTTCTGATTGGCCAACAAAAATCAAATACTATATCCGTGGGTTGGCCGAATAATGACCGTAAACTGTTACTGTTGTGTTTCTGGCAGAGGATCAAGTGTCCTTCAGAACTCTCTGCTGGCAGGAGCTTACAAAAACCAAAAACTCTTCAAATCTACACAATTCACACAAATGGCATATTTAAGCATTCAAAACTAATTTTGCAGGAAGGTGAAGAGTTTGTATGCTCGATTAGAACAACAGTAGGACTAAGCATATACCCTCTGCTCCTCATACAGGGCAAATGGAGTTATAAAAGACAAAACCAACAGACTAGCAGACTTACCACTCCTTTCTCCACAACCTCTTTTAGTTTAGAGCGAGTCATCTTGGGCTCCTGGAGGATTCAGTAAGAAAAGGTGACGAAGTCAAATCCAAAGAGCATAATACAGTTAAAAATTAGAAATTTAATTATTATTCTTATTATTTTTAAGTAAGCCAAAAATACTCACAAACAGTGGAACAGGTTCGGTGTCATTGATGGCAGCTTTCATCATGGCCACAACATGTTCATTGGTGATCACCTCCTGTAGATATAATTACAGCAACAACATGACTTCTACAATATGTTTTTCAGTGTACTTGAGGGAGAGTGACATTGTTTAATATGTAATAAATAGAGCCTGTGTTTTTGTCCAAGAATATATGTGAACGTTTTCTCTCAAACTGCACTCACATGTATAATGCTGCGCACGTTGGCTGAGGTCAGGTTATGCTGCCGTGATTTGTTCTCAAGCTCCCTGTCGAGCTCTTGATCAATCTCAACCTCTGGCTGGATTTCATCTTCATTCTCCTCTTGCTCTTGCTCTTGCTGGGAGCCTGCCTCGGTAGAGGTCCCACTCATCTCCTGTTTCCTCTTTAGACCTCCTTTCCTTCTCCCACTTTGCCGTGTGCCGCTTTGCTCGTTATCTGAGAGAAGAAAAAGTCGTAGGTTAAAAATAAAACAAATTTAATTTGTGTAAGATCAGAAAATCAAACTGATTCCACATATTAAAAAATGAAAAAAGCCCCCTGACCACTCATATTAGCCTACTCACTGGGCAGCTCAGTGTCCAGGCCACGGGAGAAACAACAAAAACCTGCTATTTTCTTCTCAAATGAAATTCTGAAGGGTGGTGGGCACTGAAAATTATGTACCCTTCAAAGTTATACACTAAGCTTTCTACCAAGAAGCACTGGTGCCCCTGATTTGAAACAGACAGGAGCACACAGACAAATATAAGAGTACAAACTTACTATGATTTTTTTTATTACCACTATTAGTCAGAGAAGATAATAGTTAATAATAATAACAGCAATCAGACTGCCCAAACCCTTAAAGGTTAACTGAACAATACTATGAACTTTCACCTTCGTGCTTTTCCTTGCAGCTTATTCGACATGTCACTGTCTTTTCCTAATCAACACAAAGTCATTACTCATTATGTGTGAATACAGATGTGTGGATGCTGTTTAGGCACACAGCGTTGAAAAATGCTACAATTTTGACAGGCCACTGTAAGCACAGCTGGAAAATAGCAGTGTGGGCCCAAGTGTAATATTTGTTGTGGGACGAAGACCAAAAAAAAAAACAAAAAAAAAAACAAAAAAGCGAGCCATATCGCTCCACACTTCCCCAAATGTGTGCAAAAAACTAAATCTCACCGACTGTGATGACCAGGGTCTTCTCGGTTTCATCTTCTGAGGACAGGCCACACTTCACATTCTGCACCACACCTGTTAACCAGTTTGGGGCTTTATAAGTTTATGGCAGTTTATTCAGTAGACAGTGCTACAACAAAACACATGTAGAACCTGCTTAATAACCAAATGAGACATTTATCTCAGAACTGCAAATATGTTTGTTCTTAACATACACAACGTTGTGTTTCTCACCCACGATGCTCAAGTCAGCTTCTTATTCTATCTAAACTATTATTATTAACTTATGTTTATTCTTATTTCTATTTTTTATTTTCTGCATAGTATATGTAAGTTTATGTGCAATTCGCTGCTGTCGGAAGAAAATCCTGTATCTCCAAAATGGTAACTTTACAGGAGAAAGAAAAAACCTTTACTTTCAATGTAGGTCAGTGGAATTAGAGTTTTTTCCAAGTCATTTTGGGTCATTTATTTTAGTCGATTCATCATTAAATTTACACACAATGTAAAGGGCAACAGATATGTTCAAATTATGTCAAAAACGGAGGTACAAGGTTTTCTCCCAACAGCAGCGAGTTATATGTTTTGCTACTGAAACACTTCAATTTTCCTTTCCTTCCTTCAATGAAGTTCTACCCATCTATTCGAATTTTCCCGTTCCACCTTAAATAGTGCAGCACTTACATAGAACCTCGCTTAAGTGGTGCAGCAGTTACATGTAACTGACGCAGCATTTAAGGTGGAACGGGAAAATTCCAACGAGTAGCTGGCGAATAGGAAGCTGACTTAAGCCTTGTTTCTCACCCTCGGTCTCAGAAGCTGGACAGACAGCTTGGCTGCAGGCTTTGCTCCTTGCTGCTCGTTTCGATGACGGTGAGTTTTCGTTATTTGGATGATTTAGCCCTTCTTCAGCTGGAGAGGAGCCGGGCTCACAGTCAGGAGAGGGGGTCTGGGTGGACCCTGCTGGTTTGCACTCGTTCTCTTCATTCCTGCTGCACTTGGACCGAGAGACGGCTCCTCTGGCAGCCGCCAGCCTGCGCTTGCGTCCCGGGTTCATCTCAGCTCCACTGACACTTCAAATCCATGTCAAAACCTCTGTTTTCAGTCCGAGTCTGTCCAACCAAGCGAACCCGAATTTTAAATACTGAACGCTTTAGCTATTCAGGTTAGACTCGTTTGTCTTTAATATCCGCCTTTTCTTACTCCGTTATTCCACTTTCCAAAACAAAACAGTTAGGTTAGCTAGGTTAGCTTGTTAGCTACCCAGGATCAACACTGCTGCAGATTCTTCGCTTGAGAAGAAACATTTCCTCTCAGGGTTTGATCAGGAACATCTCAAACGACCTGACGATCTCAGCCAGACTGCAGTTCATGGAGATATTAAAACATGTTCACACAAGATAAACAGATAAACACATAAACAGAAGGACACTTTCATTCTGCGCGCCGTCTGCAGCACCGGGTGGGCGGTACAACAGCAAAACGCCACATCCTGCCCTTACACCGTCAGAGGGCAAGTCCACAGAATTTGTACACAGAGAGAATTGCCGCTCAATAACATTATCCGAGTTTGTCAGACGCTAGAGGGCGCACCTGAGCGAGTCCACAATCCATGGGTTAATATGGACCATTTGCGCAAAATCATATTTTGTAATAGTTTGTAGGGCTTAAATATTGTTTTATATGGAAATAAAAAATGTATGTATAAAAGAACAGAGAACAGCATAAAACTGTTAGCAGTAATGCTAACCAATCAGCATTCAGTAGCAGTAATGCTAACCATTTAGCACTCAGTAGCAGTAATGCTAACCAATCAGCATTCAGTAGCAGTAATGCTAACATATCAGCTCTCAGTAGCAGTAATGCTAACCAATCAGCGTTCAGTAGCAGTAATGCTAACCAATCATCTCTCAGTGTCAGTAATGCTAACCAATCAGCATTCAGTAGCAGTAATGCTAACCAATCAGCTCTCAGTAGTAGTAATGCTAACCAATCAGCACTCAGAAGCAGTAATGCTAACCAATCAGCACTCAGTAGCAGTAATGCTAACCAATCAGCACTCAGAAGCAGTAATGCTAACCAATCAGCACTCAGTAGCAGTAATGCTAACCAATCAGCACTCAGAAGCAGTAATGCTAACCAATCAGCACTCAGAAGCAGTAATGCTAACCAATCAGCATTCAGTAGCAGTAATGCTAACCAATCAGCACTCAGTGGCAGTAATGCCAACCAATCAGCTCTCAGTAGCAGTAATGCTAACCAATCAGCTCTCAGTAGCAGTAATGTTAACCAATCAGCACTCAGAAGCAGTAATGCTAACCAATCAGCACTCAGAAGCAGTAATGCTAACCAATCAGCACTCAGTAGCAGTAATGCCAACCAATCAGCTCTCAGTAGCAGTAATGTTAACCAGTCAGCACTCAGAAGCAGTAATGCCAACCAATCAGCTCTCAGTAGCAGTAATGTTAACCAGTCAGCACTCAGAAGCAGTAATGCCAACCAATCAGCACTCAGTAGCAGTAATGCTAACCAATCAGTACCAGAGAACTTGTAGAGAGGAGAATTCCCACTCTGTAATGTCTTCCAGGTTTCTCAGACACTAGATGGCGCTCCCGAGTGAGTTCAAAATGAATGGGTTGATATGGAGCATTTGAGCAAAATGATAGTTTATAAATGCTTAAACATTTTTAATGTAAAAGAATGCGATCATTTCCTGAGCACAGAACAGCATAACACATTTTAACACTGCTGTTATATTTTTAGGAGCTTTTAAACTCGAGTTACAGGAGTTTAAAACAGCACCTCATGTACATCCATGACGTCAGTGAGCACAAACAGCCAATGAGCTGCTCCTCTCGCCCATCAATCATCACGCTCTAACAGTAATGCCCGCCTTCTGCTGCCCAAAACCCATTTGCTGAGGAAAAAAGGAAATATATTGGTAAGTTTTTTAGTGAAATACATCCTTCTACTTTCTAAAATTAAAGAAACGTTCTGGGCGAGTGATTAGAAACTTTTAACTTTTCGTTTTTAGCCATTGAGCGCTATTTACCCCCATTCATTGAGGACTCCCTTGCGGGCGCCCTCTGCTGTTTAGCAGCCCTGTTTTTGATATAACGGGGGGCATAGGAAGAGACCACGCTCCTCATAAACCGGCTCTGGCAGTACTCAGTAGCAGCAGCTCTCAGTAGCCGTAATGCTAACCAATCAGCACTCAGTAGCAGTAATGCTAACCAATCAGCACTCAGTAGCAGTAAAAGTGAAACACACTCTGCAACTGCAGGGGGATCCCAAGAGCAAAAAACACCAATTCTCACTTTAATCCAAAACTTTCATGATTTTTCATTTTAATGTGTTTGTGAACATAAAATAAAACACATAGCTGTAGTTTATTCAAATATCCATGCACATTTGGGTCAGGAGAGTCGATATTTTAATGTTGGCTAAATCTAGTCTGAACATCTAAACTTGAGCACCTCAAGGCCACTGAAAGTGATAAGGGTGGTGGAGGAGGAGTGTGAGGGTTACTAACGATGCTCACCTGTCGCTCATTAAACAGGTGCTTATAATGGTTTAGCATGTTTCTAGCACTCTGAAACCACCTTAATGGCTTGTGACCTAAACTAACGACATTGTCTTGTGGGACTTGTTGGTGTGAAGACATAGAGATGTTTGCATTTGGCACAGAGAAAAGCCCAGCAGCCAGGGTGAAGCGTTGGCAGAATGTGCCACTAACTCCAGGACGAACCCCCAGCTTTATTATTCCTCCAAAACTACACTTGAACATTTCTCCTCGAATTGTCACCCGGCAGGCCAAAGAATCAGATGAGTACAGGCTGCTGCCTCCCAGCAGTCCAGAGAAACCTTCACCTGAGCTTCAGTCTCCACCGGCCCTTTCACCTTTTCTTGGCAAACTCCGTCTCACTCCACTTTCAAACCGGAAACGTGCCAAGAAGGACCTGTCAGACCCATCTACACGAGCAGCAATGTCGCTGGAGCACGTGGAGAAGGTCACCACTCCATATGGCTTCCGTACTTTAGCTGCCAGCCCTAATGTGAGCCGGCGAGAGTCACTGTTTCACAAAAGAGCCAGGAGTGTTGGAGAGGAATGCTCCTCATGCATGTCTCCACAACAATGGGACCTACCCAAGTCCAACAGTGAAGCCAAAAATACCAAGCTGAGGCGGGAAACCTGCTGCTCCACTCAGAAGCCTGAGAAAAGGGGCCTGAAGCTGCTTCTCAGAAGCCCGCTGTCTGCTCTGAAGACCCTCACTCCTGGTCGCAGGAAAAAACATTCCAGAAAAACCCAACAGGAGAACTAGAACTGTGTAAAAATCTGTGTCTGAGATGTTGGACTATATAACTGCCTTTTGAATGTCTTATAAACAGAATTTTTAAAAGAAAATATTAAAATAAAATCAGTGTTTTATTCCATACTGTGCAGTTCATTTGTGTGGTAAACCTAAACATGCCTTTGGTGTTATTAGGGGTCGTAAGGGTCCAACTAAACCTTCTTGAGACCTTGAACCATGCACAAAATGTTTGTGCTTAAAGGGAAATAAGATCTTTCACTTGGGCCTACCATCATGCCAGCCGTCTCTTTCAAGAGTGGTTTGAGTAAGCCCTCGTCCACTTGGCCCCACGCTTCCCTTTAGAGCAGGGGTGTCAAACTCAACTACTATATTAAAAAATCTCAGCAAATCTGTGGGCCAGATGTGTTTTATTGCATTTTTACTTAGCAGTTTATTCAAAGTATGCCAAAACTGCAACAGCAAAATAGGCATTGAATACTTACTGAAAAATAATTCTAAATAAACTGTTTTAGGTAGGTTTTTTAAAACGGCCTATTCGCTTGAACTAGACATCAGCGATCTTTTCCTTTTGTGTAACTGCTGGCCCATAGATTGTTGTTGGGGAAGGGGGTCGGAATGCACACTATGTTGCAGTGCATGCTGGGGACTGTAGTGCATCTCAGGGTGAAACGGACTAATAAGAGTAGAAAATTAAAATAATTTCGCGGGCCGAATAGGACCATTTCACGGGCCTTGTGTTTGACACATGGGCTTTAGAGGAATCACGGACACCATTAAGGGCCTTTCCTCATTTTACTAGCTGTAGTGAAGTTCATCGGTCATAAGGGTCCAATTAAACCTTCTTGAGACCTTGAACCAAGCACAAAATTCTGTGCTTAAAGGGGAAATAAGAGCTTTCACATGGGCCTGCCTTCATGCCAGCCGTCTCTTTCAAGAGAGACGTCCACTTAGCCTCATGCTTCCCTTTAGAGCAGGGGTGTCAAACTCTACTACTATATTAAAAAAACTCAGCAAATCTGTGGGCCAGATGTGTTTTATTTCATCAGTAGCCACGTTTACATGCAGCCTAATAACCCGACTAATAGCTCAATTGGAACAGATTAGTCCGGTTGAGGCCATTCGGAATACAATTTCTATCCGATTGAGTGAGGTGGGTAATCCTGTAAATAATCCATTAAATAGAAGAATAATATCCATGTAAACGCCTGTATCTGATTACATTCCCAATCAGAAAGTTTAAGTACATTCTGATCATGTGCATCATAGCAAAAGACTTTACTAACGTTCAACATGGCGGAGCAGAAACTGGTCTGCAGAGGAGACGAAGTTTATGCTCTGATCTTTAAAAGACGGCGGTGGGACGGACGTCCAGCTTATGTGTCTCAGAACACGACGTCTTCCTCTCGGCGTTCTTTAATAAGTATGTGCCAAGTATGCTTTCTTGAGTCAGACATAAAGCAATTAAAAACACAAGCACTGCTCACTGCTGCTCATCTCACTCTGAAGGGACTTGCGTGATGCTCGTTGTCATGGTAACATCTACACTAAGTCATACTGTACGCATGCGCATAATTTTGGATCGGATTACTTGCAGTGTGCATGTAAATGGAGATTTTCCATCAGATGGTTCAGGAGAGCGTGCATATAAACTTCTCAGTCTTAATCTATAATCGGAACAATCGGACTGGCAAAAAACCTTTGCATGTAAACGCAGCCAGTGAGGGAGAGAGACTTGGCGAACACAAGTGTTGACTTCAGCAGCAGAACCTGGAAACAACTTGCAACAGACTCAATTCAAACTTAAAAATATGGTGGACAAAGTTGTTTATAAGCCACAGTAATAAACGGTTTCAGGTTATAAACTACTCCAATAAATGACTCCTGATAATTAGCTTTTTTGTTAGCTGGCTAGTTAGCTAGGAAGCTAAAGGCTACACAGCTCCCAACAAAAACAGTGATGCACAGCTCTGCACCAAAGTTTATAGCCAGCCAGACAAAGCGAGTATTTACAAATGTTATGTACATTATGTTCAGACTTCTCCACTGCAGTCTTTGCATGACTAGCTGATTAGCTCGCTGAGGACAAGGGTGTTCAGCTTGAACAACACGTTCCTCTCTATCTCTTCCTCCCCCTTCCTGCGAATGGCCACTTGTGTAGCTAACATAGGTGTGATGCACTTCTGAGTGGCGAGTTGAAATGGGAAAGGGCATGTACATAAGAGGTACATACAGAGCGCTGTGAGGCAAAATACTTGTGAATGGTTTGAGCTCAGACCTGTGAGGGCAGGACAGTCGCCTGATTATAAGTTTTCTTTGGAAAATGTGCATTTTGGAGGGGGGGGGGCGGGAATCTAAGTGTGCCTTTACTCTAGTAGTTCGGTTCCCTTGGTCTGGACAGATTGTTGCATTGTAGTTCTGGTTTGCTTAGCGTTCACACCGACATTTAACACTGAACCAAAAGATGTAAACAAAAGCCATACAGGTTAAAAGTCACAACTGATTGGGCAGATTTTATGACGTACAATTACTGTGATAACGTCACCCAAACTTTCTGAATCGCGCTGTTCTCTGATCTATCTGGGCTCTTTGGTTTTATTGATGTCTTATTTCAACTGTCCTGTGATATTAAAGCAAATACTCTCTGCGTTACTGTGGTTTTGCACAATGCAACGCAGGGTGAAATCCCTGTAACAGCCTCGAGTGGCTTACTGCTTTTACAGAACACAGAGCCTTGGTACGTTAATCCATTATATGTGCAGTCAAATGTACATCAGGTATTTTATAATGACTTCAAACATGCATCAGCATCATTTTAAAACCAAAACTATTTGTCCTATAATTTTAGATTCAGAGCTTATGAAGAGATGATAAAACACATGCACGTGTCAAAACAGCATCAGAGTGGTGTCTTTTCCACATACCAAAGAAGTTACCCAGAGAAAAAACTGGTCTTGGTCTGCTTATTTGGTGGGCTTATTTACTTCCCTGAGTAGGACTCATATCAGACCACAATGCTACATGCTTATGGCTGTTACTGTGAAAGCAGGTGTAGAAATTTGAACAAATGCAACGGTTCCCTAAGGAACCTGGAGAGGTGATAAACCAAAAAGCTTTTTTTTTTCCCGCCTTTTTTATTAATATCATAATCCTTTACATAGTTATGATCTTTTTTATGAAAATAGGTCAGTAGAAAGCAATTTTCTTAAAAAGTCTGTCAACATGTCAGAAGTCTTCCATTTGTACAGTCCAATTTCTGCACCTGTGTGCAGTGCAAACGTGGTAAAAATTCACTGAGGAGGAGTGTCTTCCTCCCTGCAAAATCCCTGGCCCCGTCTCCAGTGGGCCACGACACCCAATCAGGAATAAGAGGGATTCATAAGGGACAAAGCAAATGACCGTTCATCATCAAATGATAAAATACGTCTTCGAGGACTGGAGTACTTGCCGTTTTTAAGTTGCAGTTTTTCCAACACAAACTTTCACTGCGAATACTGTAAAATCATCCTTCTGCTTGACCTCATGGAGCAAGGATTTTACTTCCATTAGCAACGGTTTGGGAGATTCGTCATTCCATTCGAACACAGCATGAGTGCTGAATCATAGTAGGGGAGCCAGTAAGTACAGCAACACTAAGTGTGACTCCTGGATATGATTCTGTCTGTAAGGCTGTCCGTACGGTTGTGGTTCTGTCAGTCCGTGCCAGTCATAGTTCCAAGGTTTAGCCCATCCTGTGAGCCCCGCAAACCCAATCACATCCCCCCAAGCCCAAATCAGCCAATGAGACTTGTGCTGAGGAAAAAGAGAGGGCGCGTCTCCCGGCTCCAGCCAGCGGCATTTGAGTCCCAGAAAGAGAGAGTTCCCCCTTTAACGAATGGGCTGGATGCCCTAAGTGGTTGGAGCAGAGGATCGGCTGGTGGTTTGTTCTCCAGTGACATCACAACAGAAGAATGGGCATGAATATGGGGATGTTGTGGGTAGGGCTTGTAGAGATTGGCCGTTTCCTCTCAGTCACTGTCGGAGCCCACTGCAGACGAGCCTTTTCTTTTCCTCTTGGGGGCTTTGGGTTTGGAGTCCTCTTCCTCCTGGGAGTTACAGTGGAAAAAACACACAAAGGTTTTAGCACTTTTCTAATGATGATCCCCTCTATCAATCTCTTCCATTTACTATCTCAAAGCAAGTTCCTTTATGATAAAAATATGAAATGAAATGAATATGCAATCAGATCCAAAACTGGAAGACTAATTAATGACCTGTAAATATATATTTTTTGGTATAAAGTTTGATAACAGTTAAAAACACTTGCGAAAATAAGACTATAGTTTTATTGTTATTGTGATAAATTTGTTAGTGTGTTAAACAACATGCTTTGCTGAGCATAACGTGGACACAGTCAGTACTTAAAGAATTCCCAAGAACATGTCATTATAAAGGGACAATGTTTAACTGGATTTAGTGCAATGCAGTGTATGAAATGATGGACAGAAATCATTGAAAAATCTTAGTTTCTGATGGAGATTTTTAAATGTGGCACTATTAATGCATTGTGTGTCAAAATATTGTGATACCTTCGCGTATATCGTAAAAATGGTCTCATAACATGATAGTACAACAGTATCACAATATGTTTTTGCCATATCGTCCACCCCTACTCAAGACCATTTAAAAGAAGTGCAAGTGACATTATTCCTGATTTCAGTGATAATGTTTTATGTTTTTGTAATTGGAGGGTTTCATTCCAACATTAAACTGCACTTGTTTTTCTTCTTCTTCCATTTCTTCATAAAATATGTTGATGGGAGTGGGCATACAAGAAATACCAATGTTACATTATGATTAAAACTACCTTTGTTTGTGTTTTTCAACCAAGTGCATTATACGTCATCTGTTATTTTTTCAAACTTCTAATTACAAATGGATAGAGAGCATTTTGGAATGAAATGCCTCAATTATTATATTTTATCAAGAATTATTTAAAGTATTGGTATGCTAAGAATCAGTTTTTCATGTGTGTAATATGGCATAGATGCCAATGAGGCAGAGTATGAAATGTCAATGATGCAATGAGACAGAAACTCACTGAGGCGCTAGAGGAGGCGCTGTCATCCTCGTTATTGGCTGGCGGGGCAGCAGCACCTTTTCGCGATCGGGGCGAGGAGGCTGGTGCTTTGCGCCGAGATTTGGGAGGCTTTGAGGAGTCCTCATATTCTTCAGCCAAAGAGAAGAGATCGCTGAACCTGTCGTGCAGAAAGAGAACAGTTTAGATTTTATTAAAGCAAAGTTGAGCCGAGTAGAAATCAAATTCATACAGATAAAGTGCAGATTACTCCACTCTGGTGAGATATTCCAGACACAAGTTCTATTTGGACAGGATAAAACTTCTTACTTCTACATGTTCAGCTGCCCACAAGCAGAAAACAATTAATTTAATTGTAATTTTGTTTGCCCTAACCATCCACCCAGCTCTGCAAACAATGTGTCATAAGCTTGAGAATTTACAGACAGTCAACATCACTGCATAAAATAAGACTTATTTTTGTAATTTTTCAGGTTTTACTGTTTGAAATCATATTATAATAAGTATTGGCTTGATATAGGCCACAGAGGGCACAAGAAAAAGCTTGTTTGAGTGCCTCCATACCTCAGAGTACTCCAGAATGTGAAACAAAACAAAAACAAACAAAAAGAGCAAGAAACTTTACTGACGCAGGAGCGCACAGTCCATAAAAATGACTGAAAAGGTGGATCCAGATGGGACTAAAATCACTGAGAAACACCAGTCATTAATTGATTAATTACCTCATCTCCCCATGTGAAACTAATCTTCTCATATCAGTGGGGAATCACAGTGTGCTACAAAAACAAAACTGACTGATGTTTCAGTGTATTTCCTCTAACAGTGTGTAGAAACTCATACACAGATATAGTTTAGCTTTACAGTGAATGAGCACTAAAGGGAGGCACCCCCCCCCTCTATTTTCCCATACTGGTATTAAAACCTTACCTCATCTTATGGGCTTCGTCACAGCTGGCTTGAACATGCTGCAGGGCCTGCAGAATGGGTGTCTGGGAAAAGACTATATACACACAAACACACACATTTAATGTCCTATTTATGTCATGTTTACGTCCCGATTTATACACAGTGTATAGCAGAAGTCAGAGTTTAACGCTTCTTAATAAAGGAAATATGCCTGCTTTCCTGACGCAGGTGAGAGGATCAGACATACAGTTATTCTTGGTGTTGTTGAGGCTGAGTCTCAGACAGTCCAAATGCTCCAACATCTGCTCTAGGGTCAGCTGGGCTAATTTGCTGCTGGAGCTCCGCAAGCTGCAGAAGAAAACATCACATGATGTAAACGCATGCAATTCCTAATACTGCTTAGTACTGATTTAGTCCAATGTAAGCACCCTAACTGCTCATGTAACTGCACATTAGCATCTGTACAGGGCTTCACAGGAGCTGTAGTAGGGAAGGGAACTGTATAGGCCTTTAAATTGACAAGCGGAGGGACTAACATGCGAAAACAAGAAACCAATGATTGACATAACTTTAATGATAGAGGCTCACAACATATAAAAAGGGGGGAAAGAAAGAAAGCTTTTAACCTAAGTCAGCTAATTCGGTTTAATCATTTTCAATAAAGGTGCATGTGGCAGTCCATGCTACTCGCATTGCAAGTAAAGTTTCAGTAATCTTTTTGTGCTGTTGGCAGTTCTTTCAGGGTGGAACTCACCTCTGCCGTTTGCGGGGCATGTTGTTGTTCTTGATTAGCAGGGCCTTTATGTGTTCTGCCAGCAGGTCGTCGTGTTTGGCCGCCCAGTGCCGCAGGATGCTGGTGGTAAACTGGTCCTCCTGGTGACACGGCCGACTTAGAACCATCTTCACCATCTCCTCACTGGGACTAAACATGCAGCAGGATTATTAGCCACCATCTCCATCACTGTCAGTGTTAAACAATTACATGTGATTTTAACCATTTAGGAGCTTACTTCTCTCTGCGAAGTTGCAGCAGCAAGCAGGAGAGAGCTTCTGGATGCTCTATAGACAGAGAGAGGGGGAGAGATTAATTAAGCATTTACTAAAATTAGAAATAAATGAAATATCTGGATGACACTTTATTTGAAAAGTCCGCTGTAGATGCCAAACTTGATGTGACATTTTAACTAAATACCTATTAAATTCAACATAAAGCTCTCACACTAACCCAAACATTACCTTCAACCCAAAATGTAAAAGTAAACCAGGTTCTTTGCCTGATACTAACAGGAATGCTGTTGATAGTTAACTGAGTTTGACCAGATTGTTTGTTAATAATTTAGGCATTTGTAGAAGAGGAGCATCAAAATAAGGGTCAGCAATATTTAAATGTAACTGAATGACACTGAAACAGAGACTGAAGTCAGAATATGTGTATGTAGTGTTTTGTAAAGCGAGTGCACAACCCACCTTTGTATTTGAGGTGCTGTAGGATGGGGATAATGGTTTCCAGTGGGATACTGTGGGCCAGGAACAGCTGCCATGTGCTATACTGCTCAAACGTCTCCCAATCCAGTGACTGAACTGTAAATATATACATATACATTCATTTCTTGATGAATAAGCAATGATTAGTGAACAATTTGAATGATTATAATGCATATTTTAAATACTTTTATTCTCTTTTACAATAATATCATATCCAATCAGCAAGTGAGTGTTTGAATACAGTATCAAATCACAAAGCCTTCAGCATGTGCTGTTTCTTTTAATATCCTCATAAAAATTAGAGGAAGGTCATACAGCACTATTTTCCACTCCGTGGATTAGTTTCTCCTTGATTTTCATATATTTTTTTGATGAAACCACAGTATTTAGAGTGATGTGATGTGGCACATCCAAATTAGAAACAAGGCACTCGTCAAAAATGGTGCGTTACAATTGTGCTCTCTTGGACTCCCGGCCACGGATGGCTGTAATATCATTGGGGGATTGAACTTGGCAATGTATTAAAGGCAATGTATAATGGTTTGTTACTTGCCGATCAATTTTTATGATTACTCAGCTGAGTGATACTCATTTCTCATGCATACACAACACACACACACACTTACTGAGAATGTTGAGCACAGAGTCTTTGCGGAACATCACCAGATTACCCATCATTACATGACACATCAGCTCCTGAAGCTGCAAGTAGAGTGAGAGAGAGAGAGAGAAAAAAAGATGAGATTGATATTGGATTTGCAGTCTAAGTAAAATTTTTGTTTGCATTATATTATTCAAGCAAGACACAGATATTAAATAACTAACCTGTGTGGAGTCAATGACCGCCACTATCATATTTAAAAGCTCCCCACTGCGTAGAGTCTCATCTGGGAACTGGAAGAGACAAACACAAAGAAATTAGTACTAATATTGACTACATATATCATCTTAAATACAGGTAGTTGTTGTGAAAATTAGGACTGCAACTAATAACCAACAAAACTTTGTATATCTGAAATGCTAACTTAGGAAAAAGGTCTTAACTCTTACGTATTTTTTTTTTTTTTATTCCAAGTAATTGTCCACAATTATGTGAAGAGCAGATGACTTTTTCAAATGGTATAAAATAATAAAAAAGGAAAAATATGCAGTCACAATGTTAATATGATAGCGAGAGCATGTTGCATAGTACCATGCTTTTAATTTGCAACTGTCGGCTTTGTTGGCTATTGGTTGTGGCTGAACAAGATATGTAGTGAACATTATGGTCTGTAGTACTGCATGGTCTTTTTTGTGTGTACCTCTGAGTAGATGGAGGGTGTGAGGTAACAGAGCAGCCTCACGTCGTCCTCCTGGCAGGCCTTCATGTCCATCATTAGGCAGGTATGAAGGTCACCCAGCGCTGTGGCCTGGGCAAACGACTCATATAAACTCATCTTTCCCGCTGCCGCTTTACTGCAGAGAATGAGACACACACAGAGACGGGAGAGAGACAGAGTGAGACAGTAATATTTAACACTGCAGGACTTAAAGTGATGGTTCAGTCAAAAACTAAACCTACATAATTTTCCACTCACCCCAAAAGTAGCAGATGTACTTCTTGCTTCCATTACTTGTTAGCTACATTAGCCTCATAGCTATAGTACGAAACTAAAAAAGCAAACTTCAGACACCAAACATGTCTTGGCTGATCAGCTACATTTAGGGGTAAAACTGCAAATTAGATTTTTTGCCAAACCATCACTGAAACAGACTGATGCTGGAATTACACCAAACGACTTTTCAAGCGGTTTCCAATGACAGAACAATATCATGAGTCTTGCTAGAGTTGCGTGGCGCTTGCGTCATCTCGATCGTTTAGCGTGAGGTGGTCAGGATGGCCGTCTTAGCTCAGTCTTTTTCTTGTCTTGGCGCTGTGACAAAATGTACCATGTTTATTATTATCTTAAGGTTTAAGTCTTGGCTCATGTAAATAGTGACATGCCAGGGGAGAGTGTGAGAACGAGCGAGCGAACACATGCGCACAGTGTGATAGACAGAGAGAGAAAAAGAGACAGACAGAGAGAGAGAGAGAGAGAGAGAGAGAGAGAGAGAGAGAAAGAGAGGGTAAGGGAGAAAATACATGCGCGAGAGCCTAAAATCTCTGTAAAAAAGGCAAATCTGCTCCACTTTGAAACAATAATCACATTAAATAACTAACTAACTAAATGTAAACTGGCTGTTTTAATATTTCAGGTCCACTGAGTGTAACAGTGATGTAAGGAAACGTGCCGAGGACTTGAGCATTACTGAAGAAGCATTAGTGTTTTTGTTTTTCTTTTTTTTTGCTTTCTGTTACATTGGTTTCTTATTTTCTTTGTTTGTTTTCATGGTTTTGTTCAATACATCTAATCAACGATGCTGAATCACTGCATGTTTTGTTGATGTGTAAATCCTTATGTTAAATAAGATGAAACCGCACATTTTACAGGTTAATTAAAACTCCTGTGTGATGAGATGCCAGAATATACAGCTCCACAGTGAACTGGGCCGAGCTATGGATCACACCCAGCCATCGTATATTCCCATTCGTCCCACTACGGAGTGGAGAAGGAAAAAGGTTTCGCTGCTTGTAAATTTCCACCAGGTGCATGATGGGAAAAAAATCTAAAAAAATCGAGTTGCAGTCTTGCAAATAGTGACACTGCAAGATCCCCAGTCTCAACAGCGCCCCCACCTGGCTTTGAGGTAGTAGAGGAGGTGATAGCCAATTTTGGGCTGCTTCTGGTAGAGCTCAGCGAGCATGTCCAGCAGAACAGAGAAGCCGCTGTTATCCTCCTGCATCTGACACAGGTTTCTGAAGATCAGACACACTGGCTTACATACAGACTCCTCCAGGGACCTAGAAACAACAAGACAGAGAGATAACGTTACCACATCGTTCTACTGAATTAATCTGCCTTATCAGTCACAACCTCTAAAAAAGAGCTGTTGTAAGCAAGATTCACTCAGGCAGACCAAGATAAGTAGATATAAAAGAACATAGACAGGCACACACTTACTCTTCAGTGATTTCCTCAGGCAGAACATCTCCTCTGAAGTGGCTTTTGAACAGCTCAGACAGACAGGAGGCCAGAGCTGACATCTGCTCTGACTCAAAGTCCTCCTGCGAGAGAGAATTGGAAATATTTTTATGGAGTCATAAAGTCACTACTTACATCCAGAAGTGCAAAAAGTGTATCTTAAGGTGGTTCAACTACACTGATTTTGAAAGAAGCAATTAAAATTGGTTAGAATAATATCAGTATGCTCTCAATCTATTTCCAAATGTCCAAATATATGTGGAGTTTTATAGCGTATATTCCACTACTGTGTAAATTATTCTTTCAGGCCATTAGCATATGTGGCGTATTTTAAAAATAATAATTAAAAAAAAAATGCAACCATTTTTACCCCTGTTAGCTCATGTCAGTGTTCATATTAAGCACAATTAATCAAATCGTTTAAAAGACAAATTTCCTGCTTTCCTATAATCTTGCATCAAAATGTAATGACTTTTTCCCACCAATAATAAGCAATGAGATAATGCTTCACCTCCCCCTCCCAACACCCCGAATAATCACAGAGAGAAAACCCCCAGCTAGCTCAGAGATCCTTCCTGATACTGTGCTTAACTCAGAAATACATCACGCTTCACAAGAAAAGTGCATAATGATTTCCCGTTCATGTTGACTTTAAACGGCTCATGTCACTGAAAAGTAAATTTTGGATGCTTGTTTGAAACACAAGAGTTTGAGATATATACACACACACACAAACATATATATGTATGCGTATATATGTATGTGTGTGTGTGTGTGTGTGTGTGTATATATATATATATATATATATATATATATATATATATATATATATATATACACATACACACACACACACACACCCACACATACATACACACCCACACACACACACACACATACATACACACCCACACACCCACACACACACACACACACACACATATATACATATAAAGTTCACATTAACTTCCCAGTCCACACTCCTGTTAGCTGCCTATTCAGTCTATGGTAATTTAGCCCTGCCTATTCACACACTAGACTTCTTTACATATCACTGTCGTCGGAAGAAAACCTTGTATCTCCATTTTTGACGTTTTTCAGCTTTTCACACAATTTGAAACCTGTTACCCTATACATTGTATGTAAATGTCATGAAGAATGGACTAAAAGAAATGACCTAAAATGACTTGGAAAAAAAAGTCTGGTTCCATTGACTTACATTAAAAGTAAAGTAGATTTTTTCCTTCTCCTGTCAAGTTACCATTTTGGAGATACAAGGTTTTCTTCCGACAACAGTAATACGTAAGTCTTAAAGGCACAGCAACAAACAGATATTTAATTCTAAGGGATAAAGAGTGGTGGAAAACTATTGTGTATAAATTAAACATGACAATTTTTGTTACACAAACCCTCTTGGAAGACAAATGTAGGACATGGACCCTTTAATTAAATAAAAACCTAAATAAATCAAATCTAATCATTGTATGGTCAGAGATTTACACCCCTACTTACCTCAAATGCATCTTAAAAACACTGAAAACAATTCAAGACTGTAAGCTGCTTCTTTAAACTCACCTCCAAAATGAGGTCCACTATCTCCTGCATGACCTCACACTGTGTCTCTGTGTCGCTGTGGAAAGCAACAGTGACGGTGAGATAAATGAATCACTGTAATATCTTAGAGTGAAACTCATTATGGCAGTTCTCTAATGAGGTTTACAGCTGCCTCACCTGCTCTTCTGCAACTGTAACACTTTCTCCTTCAGCGTCTCATCCAGTTGGTCTACATATGGCGTGATATCAGCTGGTTCATCTATAAAAGTCTCCTTGATCTGGTGGAACCTGAACTCACGTTTTTTACCTTGGGACAAGAAAGCATTTTTAGAACAGGCTGAACAGAAGGAGAACAGTACAGTGAGCAGAAGCAGCAGCATTCAGACTGGTGAATTCCAGCAAGCAAAGCAGCCATCATCACTGTTTGCCCTGCCCATGTTTTTCCACTGTGTCATGCTACACAGTCCCAATTCACAAGTCAAAACATGGGTGTTTGCAAAGGCTGTGTCATAATATTTGGCAGAGCGACACAGTCATCAGCTGTAGCACCAGAACTACAGCGGAATTTCAACAAATTCAGCAAAATTTCTGCATAATTTAATCTTTGAGATGTAAACACTGAGTGTGTTCACATGTACTCAATAATCTGATCATTATATGATTTCTGCAGTTATCTGATTATTCAAATGGTCATGTAAACAGAACACTCCGATTTCTTAGATTGGAGTAAGGTCTAGAAATCTGATTAAGAAATCTGATAAAGAGAGCTGGATTTTAGCTCAGTAATCAGATTTCTCAGCACACGTAAACTCTTACTCTGATTTCTTTCAGATTTCTCAGTCTGCACATGTGCGAACACAGACCGCAGTACCGGAAATAAGCGAAGTGTCGCCGTGAGATGCAGCAAAACACTTTTGAAGCAACACTGAAACCAAATATATGCTTGACGAAATGACACCTTTTACATTACGTTTACGTCACGTCTTCTTCTGTGAGTTTATTGGCTGGTTGTAAAGCAGAAATCGAATTACTGTCTGACTCATGTAGACCCGGAGTTTCCCCATTATCTGATTTCTCAAGTGTTGTAAAATCTGATTTTCTGCAGTTATGAGATTATTAAGTGCATTTAAACGCACTCACTGTCATTCATGTGGTTCACTGCAGAGAAAACTAGTGACTCATGTTTTGTTTTTTTGTTTTTTTTTTACAGTGGTGGTGATAGGAACCAGGGGTCGCCATGACTACAATACAAACACAGCCATTTTATCTACTTTCCAAAACCACCAGTGAACCTACAAGTGTCCTCTGAGTTTTACATGTTATGTGATAAATCTGCAAAAAAAAATTTGGGGGGGACTATTTTGCCTCACAACACCGTTCATTACCATTCGTAACCATTTCATGTAAAACTTTTCTGAAGATTGCAATTAGAGGTCTTTAAAATCTTCAGATCAGTCTGGTTCTCATCATGAGCTCTATGAAACATTCTGATGTGGTAAGCTACTTTAGAAGTGAGCATTTCAAATCTAAATGACTTTGTTTACAAAGTAGATTAACTACTTGGCTTAACTACGTCATTTTGGTTGACACATTTAACCATTTAGTGAGGCAGACTTTTTAAAAAATAAGCAGACTTCTCCTTTAAAGACAGTTTGACACAAAATAGAACAAAAAGTTTACGTACACCAATTAGCATTGTGCCACTGGTGTGTCTAAGGCTACGTTCACATTACCAGCTTGAAGTGGCACAAATCTGTTTTTTTTTTTTGCCCTAATGTGACTCAGATCTGATGTTTTTAGAGCTGTGTGGACACGAATCTGATCTTTTCAAATCCGACCTGAGTCACTTTCATATGTGGTCCTAGATCGGATACGTATCTGATTTGTGGCCAAGCGACCGTAATGTGATGCTCATATCGGAATTCATGTGCTTTTTTTTTCACTGCACGTGCACCATCATTCAGCGTTACCATGGCAGCAGCGCCGAACAGAAGTTAAAGCCTGTAAACGGTGGAAAAACAGCTCATCTCACCTTTTTCTCCTTCGTCTCGCTCTAATAATGAAGCTGAGAGCTGATCAGAGTTAATTATCTTCTCAGTGAAGCTCATTCTGCTCGTTAGTTTGTGCTGATGATGCACGTGATTCATTCACGTGACGTTACTGAGTAGGATGTGTTCATGCGGGTCATTTCAGGACGCCGGTTCGTTCACATTAATGACAGATTTGAATCACTTACCTAAACGAGTGGGAACCATCGTGTAAGAGACATCGGATTTGAGCAAAAAATCGGATTTGAGCAATGAGGCTTGTAATGTGAACATAGCTTAAATCACCACACTTGCAGCAGCAAACTGTGTGGAGCTGTTAAGTCATCTCTAATAGAATTGTTTATATGGTCTTTGACACTGTATGGCAAGGTTTTCAATAAATATGGACAAAAGTATGCTGCATAACTAAAAACAGTGGCCGTCCTGAAATGTGAATGTTGGTTATACATGTCTTGGCTGATCCACTAAAGGGGAAATTGTGTAAGTTCTACATTCTGCTGAACTATCGCTTTAAGCTACAGGAAACCATTTGACATGTAATGTATTTGACACTGCAGTAACAGTGTTTGAGGCGCCTCACCCTTATTGTTCAACTCCTCCTCATCATCACTAAAGGTAGCGTCTGTGTTGTCATAACAACCGTCCTCTTTATCCAGCACATGGTTGTCCATCTCCATGGGAACGGACTCTTCCATTTTCACTGAAGAAATGAAAGAGCAACATTTATTTTTAAAGAAGAAACAGGACAAGGCACAGCTTCAAAACATTGCTTCAAGCTTTCAGACCAGAAGACGGTTCTGGATACAGTTCAAAATATTTAGTTTATTAGTCAATATGTTCCCAGACGACTGTACTGTAAAGATATACTGGAGTTTAAACGAGATGAGTGAGTGTATGGAGGTGTGTTTATGGTGCGGACCTTCTGTCGGAGGGGACGGGGAGCTGCAGAACTCAGGGAAGCGTTCTCTCAGCATGGAGCGCAACTCGCGGTCCAGTTTAGGGTTGTCGAACAGCGGAGCCAAGTGACTGAGAAAGAGATGAGAAGAGAATTAGCACAAGGACTGAGAACTTTCATGATAGGGTTGAATGATTGTTTTTATATCAAATTCACAAATTGAAAGAGCACCATTTTCAAATTGCAGGAGCTGCAACTTTAATTATATCCCACACTATCCAGCATGGTCTTAACAAGGCTTAAGTGGAGAAATTTAAGCTAATAATGCAGAGCTTGCGAACCAGCAGTCCGGCACCCCTACGTTCGGCATCAAAGTCCAAAAAAAGGATGTGATCTTCTTGAGGATTCAAAACAGGCTTGGAGCTTAATTTATAGGAAATAACTGCATTTAAATAGCAAATGAAGTACTGGTTAAAAAAAATGTGATATATTCTCAAAATGTTCAGCCCTAATTCTTACCATTAATAGAAAATGGAATAAATATTTGAAAAGGGGAAAAATCTGGCACTGAGTACTCACGCCAGCACTCTCTTCTCCATGATAAAGTTAAGAGAGTTGAAGACGCCCTGGCGCACTTGAACCTCCAGTGGTGGAAAAAAGTGAGGGATAATCTGAGGTAAAGAAAAAGACAATAATTACAAATATAGGAGAACTCGAGAAACAGATAAAACAGTTAAACTATGAAACAACATCGTGTTATTAAAAGCAGGGTGATGTACAGTTTTATGGAGAACATGAATGTTAAATTCTCATCATTTGTCCACATGCTTCTTGTACAAAAAGTGCAATAAAATATAAGAATAAAAAGTGATACTGATAGACTAATTAAGTAAAACTAGAGCAGCATTTAAACTATTGCAGTAAATACTGTTGTGCGCTGCCAAATATAGCGGCAGGATGGAACTACACCAGCGCTCAATGCAGCAAAACACCCTTCAGAAGAATTCAAACACCCTTAATACACATTTTTACATATTATTGTGTGATTAAAAAAAACCTGAAATAAAGACCACACTTTTTTCATGCAGAGCGACAAACAACTTACTCGACACATGAAGTCCAGCAGCGTGGCAGTAATGGCTGGATGGGGCTTCATGGAGTGGTGCATCACCAGGATAGCTGGTTCTAAAACACGCATACACAGACAGGGAGAGAGAAGATGAAGTAGAAACACTGTCTATCCGTTGTGTCACTGGTAACATTAGTGTCAGGAACCTTCTCTTCAGCTTCTTCCCTCCATCCTTACCAATATTCATGATGCTGTCCTTCTCTGGGTTGAAGAAGAGCCAGTCATAGAACAGGGCCAGTTTGGCATTGGACGCAGCAACGTTAGACTGAGCAGAAGAGAGGAACAAGTTAAAATGAAGACGGGTATCCGATTCTGAATCAGATTTTCACCCTTTCAAGTTTTCACAACTGAAAGCAGTTTCAACTGGCTCAGAAGCAACTGATGGCACACATGATGTGGCTTTGCGAGAGAGGAAAGAAGTCAATCTTAAACCGTGTGATTTAGCTGCAGAGTGACTGGAGGCCTCCAGATATTTTCAAACATGTTTAATTTTGATGACTGAAAATGATTAAGAGTGCTGTAGTATGGAAGGTCAGCGACATAGCTATGTGTGGTAATAGCTGATAAAGAGCGCTAGGAGAGAGAGCAAACTGCACACTGAAGAAATTGGGTGATGAATATTGGCAAACGTGAGTGCATCCATAACTTCAAAATACTCTCTTTATAATTTCACATCTGGTGCCAGTTTGTAGTAAAAAGTTGCACAAAATCATGTTTAGAGTCAAACAAAGCTACATTGTTTTCTTAAGAGTAAAAAAATTGGTATAAAAAAAAATTCATTCTGTGACTACAAACAAAATAAACATTACATACAGCTTTCTTTTATTACATTGGTATGCCTCAAAGCAGTGCAACCAATTCACATTTTGCTTGAAGTGACATAATATGATTGTGAAATCTAGACTGTGGAAAATAACCGCAGTCAGCTTTAATCATTGCAATCATCTCAAATGAATGCAAGCATCTCAAAGGTATTTAGGTAATTATGTAATAATTGGGACAGACCCCGCTCCAGCTTTGTTTATGACACCAGATAATGGTGAGACTTATGATTTTGAAACTTCTTTTAAATGTGATAACCTCCCTTTGCCTAGTGTCCATACCCTCGCAAGATAAAAAAAAAGACATGATTCTGTAAATGATGTAAAGTTAGAGATGCTCTCCATTGTCAAAATTCTTAAGTCATGTAGTGCACACCAGTGCTTTCATGTTTTTTGTGTTCGGAGGATGTGAATACACCAATCAGGCATAACATTATGATCACCTCCTTGTTTCTATGCTCATTGTCCATTTTATCAGCACCACTTACTATATAGGTGCACTTCGTAGTTCTACAGTTACAGACTGTAGTCCATCTGTTTCTCTGATACTTTGTTAGCCCCCTTTTACCCTGTTCTTCATGGTCAGGACCCCATGGACCCTCACAGAGCAGGTACTATTTGGGTGGTGGATCATTCCCAGCACTGCAGTATCACTGATGTGGTGGTGGTGTGTTAGTGTGTGCTGCGCTGGTCTGAGTGGATCAGACACAGCAGCGCTACTGGAGTTGTAGAACTACAAAGTGCACCTATATAGTAAGTGGAGCTGATAAAATAGACAACGAGCGTAGAAACAAGGAGGTGGTCATAGTGTTATGCCTGATCGGTGTACATCCAATAATTAACTCCTGACTTTAACCACACGCTGTTCAGCGTTTGCTGCGTTTATGAAGGTTTACCGTGCAAGTGGTTAGCAGCCAGCCGATGATGGCCCAGCGGGGCAGGATGTCCGAACTCAGAACCTCATTGGAGGGGTGGACGACCCCACAGATGTAGCGGATGAGATCGCAGCGCAGTGACTGACTCTCAGCTGTGGACAGATACTGCCTCTGGAACCAGTCCTGATAGCGTTTCTGCTGCCCAAATCGAACCTGCAGTCAAAGAGAGAGAGAGAGAGAGAACCGTGGGCATCCCAGCATTCCTGTATATTATGAACAGAAGCTACACTGGAGTCTGTTAGTAACTGTGCAGTGTCACAAAATCTAAAGACTGGCTCGCTGAAACTGACTGCACTGTACTCTGGTCACATTAAGCATGACTAATCGTGTCATTTAAAAGAGAAAACTCTTTTCCTGTAACCTTCAACCAAAATGTAATGACTTTTCTAACTTTTATGAAATGTTTTCTGATTTTTGTTATATCAGCCTGCACCAGAGGGTGGGGCAAAGTAATATACACCAATAATATCATGCTTCACCCTCCCTTCCCACCTCCACATGTCTTCGAGAGAGACTCCCTGATTCCATGTTTCTACCAGAAGTACATTACAGAAGTAAAATCCAATTCGATTTCTGATTCAAGTTGACTTTAACTGGAGGGTATTCACCCTTTTTATGAATAGGCCCTTATTTCAGGGGACCATCAGTAATTAGACAAGTTGACACAATCATGTTTATTATGGTTGCATGGTTGCAAATCCCTTGCAAAGGCTCAGTTACTGCTTGTTTATGCCTTCAGTAAGTAAAATGCTTAAAGGGGTTCAGGTCAGGTTGGTATATTTATCTCTTTCAGGAGGTATTGACACATTATGCCTACAAGACCTTTCATTAGCACTCTGGTGCATGAAGTAATGATGCAACACAAGTGAGAAACAAGGTAAGAAACAAGTGAGCAGCTAAACCTCCAATTATTTATGGTCGTCTGAAATAGGGATGCATAAATAAAAGGCGGCCATTTTTCTATGGTTCACTCAAAATACAGATTTAAATTCCTCTAAAGTAAAGCTGAGAGAGTACTTTGCACTTTAAACTCATAACCATGTCTAATTCAAAGAGCTGAGTACAACGAAATTGGCATCACTTTCCAGTTACTAATGAACTCCACTGTATGTCTTTATGTAACTGTAAGTGTCTTGGTTTCAGGAAGCGGTTCAGAGAATCTAAACTGGGCTAGAGAGCTCTCTGTGGGCCAGGCTGAGTGTGTGTGGAGTGTGCTTTTACCCTAGAGGTCATGAACAGTAGTTTGGTCTCCATATCTGGGGTGAGGCGGCAGGCCAGGAATTTACGGGATGTACGAGAGGTGAGGAGCTGCAATAAACCTGCAGATGGATTTTGCACACACATACAGTTATACATACACACATATGCATGTACGTGTAGCACACATTCTTAATTTTAGTTTTGTCATCGCAAAGACTTTTCACACCAAATCAATTTTAATACATGAAAACAGCAGACGAGATTTGTAACACACTGAAAACTTCACAAAAAGTTTGATGGTAACGCTGGCTTGAGTTCACACTTAGAGGAATTTCACTGATTTTGCATAATTAAATGGCTAAGATGTAAACAAAAACATTCAGAGTGGTTGGCTCTAAAATGCTCCATTTGAGAGAAAATGACCAAGTTGTGATAGAAACCAGATGTCTAAAGAGTTAAAAGCCTCCAAAAGCTCCCTCACGAATTACCCTCATTTATTGCATGAAATGATTAGTATGCTGCCTGATATCTGAGTCGCTGTTTTGAGATAAGCTTCTAGTCTTCTAAAACAATCATTTAAAAAACCCATTCAAAGTTAACCCATTCTAAGGTAATATAGTTCTCAAAGATGATATTTTTTCCCCAAATTTACTGCTGTTTTACTGTCATCAAGACTACATATACAAACTCAGAAGACATGCAGGTTTATAGGTTGTTTTGGATGGTAAACAAAATGAATATATTTGCATGGTAGACATCGTGACCCCTGGTTACTATCACCACCACTATAGAGAAACTTGAGTTTCTGTTTGAGTGAGATATGCTATTTGTATATAATGTTGATAGACACAGGGGGACACTTGGATAATTGTAAGGTTAAGCTTTTCTGTGCAAATCACGCCAAAAACCGAAAAATGACAAAAATGGAGATGTAAGATTTTGTTCCAACACCAGCGATAAATATTCACTTTTAAAATAAATTAATACCACTTGCACTTCACCAATAGAGTACAATAGATACTGTATCACATACTGTATGTCCGTGTTGTGTGCTATATAATTTTACTGCATTCTACTGCACTAAAAAATTAATTAACACCAGCATGTGAATCTGTCTTTCTGCCTGTCTCTCGAAAAATAAACACACCTGTAAATTGCGGGCTGAGGGTCTGAGGGTTGTGCAGCAGGTCTCGCCACAGTAGTTCCATCTCAGGAATACGAGCCACATTCTGTAACAGTCTAACCAGATCTCTCCCGATGATAAAACACTCCATGAACTGAAAATGAAAGAGACAGACGCAGACAGCAGATCTTTACTCATTTTTACTGTTGGCTCTTATTTGCAAGCTTTCAGTGACAGGCTGCTTCATTCCAAGTGTGCGAAGGAGGCTATCGCAGGTCCAACCTCCCTGCTGCTGTTAGACTGTACCACCAGCACTGCTCCCAGTAGAGCTGATCTTTTTTATCTTACATTTTTATCTTCAGTGTTATTTATATTGTCTATACAGCAAAAAGTAAGGAACTGTAACCTTGTTAGGTAATTATCAATGTTAATTACTTTGTTTGTTAGTTCTCTTCTTTTCACTCTTTTCTTGAGTGCCTTGCTATCCGTTTGCTGCTGTAGCACTGGGAATTTCCCCATTGTGGGACTAATAAAGGATTATCTTACCCCCTTTTGAAAGGAAATAACCTCTACTGACATAACCATTATATTAACAGAGGGATAACGTAATGAACATCGGTCTAAGAATGCAAAGTAATGTCATTCTTCCACTGTTCCTTCTTACCCTCTCTCGCAGGAGACCCACGCAGAAGTCCACCTCTCTCTGGCGGAGCGGTAGTAGGCTCGGGGTCCCATGATCCACTATGAGCCGCAGGTATGTGTAGACAGACATAGCCACCAGCATTCCGCTTTTCAACACCCATTCCCTACACACAACAAACAGCAGATACAACACTTCAATTATAAGGTCATTTAAAAGAATAATATAACAAATGGAGGCAGGAAGCAGTGGAAGTGGAACAGTGGAAGCAGATTATGGACAAAATCAACATCAACCAGAAGCAGGCAATTCAGCTGGGCTGATTCTGCAATGTCAGAATCTATTATAATGGACTATAATAATATTTAATGGATTTTTTTTTATCTTATTTCAAATATTAGTTTAGATCCAGTTTACTGAAATAAGGCGCTTCCTGAACATAAATCAGCTCAGAAAATAAAGCCTGATGTTTACCTTTTATTGTCTATATTCTGCTACTGATTACTACTGTCTATATTGCAGTGCTCTTCACTGTATATTCTTTACAGGGCCCAAATTTCTCTTTTCTTGCCTGAGGTTCACTTCTAGCATTTGTGTGATTTATATAACAAATAACACAGTAATAATTATTTTTACATGACCATTTTCCTCCCTCACTTCATTCCTTAAACATGCAGATTTTGCTTCTGTGCCTTTAAGACAGATATATGTAAATGAGTTCTGTTCTGATTGGCTGTGCTGTGTTGTGCCTTATACAAAAAGCAATCCGGTATGAAATATTCTTCACAACTTCAGTGTGAATGGGCTGGGCTAAAGTTCTGTGGGTTGAAAGGGCAGATATATGAATATATGAATATAGGAATACATTTTTTGCCTTCATGATATCCCAAAGCAATTCATTGAAAATGAGCTGTTTTGCATGTTAGTTTCCTTATATAGTCTGTATGAACTGGGAAGTGGACAGTGTGTTGTAAAATTCTGATTTTTTTTGCAACGTTAAACTTAGAAAAGAAAGAAAAATGTAGTTTTCCATTATATCGGCTCTTTAAATACAGAGCGACTGAAATCATTCAAAAAAACTAAATCTAATTTTAAAAATAATCTAATCAGGGTGAAATCTTTTTATGATTTTATGATGCACTGAGTCATTTCATGAAGAATCACAACAGGATGAATCATCCTGAGGTCAAAGATTTACAGCACTACTATATTAATAGTGAATTGCTCAGATGTTACCTTTGTTCCACCAAGATGTCCAACACATTTTCAGCCAGCCACAGGTTTTTGCTGGAAATGTCACCTCCTAAAGACGGACACAGATTAGAAACATGCTATCAATCAGACAACCATCCTCCTTCTGATTTAGAAAAAAACGTGTGTGCATATATATGCATATATATATATATGTTTGTGTGTATACCAGCAATCTGCTTCATGAGGGTCATGAGGACTCCGTCTGCCCCTATAACTCCACTTTTCACCAACTCTCTCACCAACCACACCAACTGCACACAGAAACAGAAAAGTCACAATCAGAGAACATGTTATTCACCAATACATTTATGTGATCTCAAGATGCATATGCATGTACTACAATTCTCTTGATGTAAGTGCATAAAGCAAATAACTCTTAAGGGCCCATAACATGGAAAACCAGATGTTCCCCTTATTCTTCTTAAATGAGAGTTTGAAGTAGTATGTGAACATTTTTTAAGATTCAAAATGTACCATGCAGTTCATATATGGAAACTAAGCTACAAAAACAGTCTGTTTTAAATTCCCTATTTCTGTGATGTCACAAAATCAACTCATTTACACAGATTAGCCTATTTAACCTACAGCAGTTTAGCACTGCTGAGTCATGCTGACATTATAAGGAAGTGTTATAATAACATGTTCATTTTTAAGGTGCTGGAAAACAGCAATGTAACTGTGTTTGGTATGTAAAATAAAACAAATTATACAGTTTAAGAAAAATGTAGGATGAGAGCCTTTTAGGGCAGGATTCTCATAGAACAGATAGAACATTTAACATCCATGTACGTACAATACATAAAGTGGAACTAGAAAAAAGCTTGCTATTAAACATACAGTGGTAAGAACACTCCCTATGCAAACCAAGGCTGACCTGTGTGCGGCACACGTCCTGCAGTTTGAGGAACTTCTCCATGAGTATCTGGTTAATCTTGATCAGAACCACATTCATGCCGTCTCGGTTGACTAGCGTCAGGTCCCTGTAGCACTGTACAGGCAGAGGATTCACCAGTTATCATTTCACTATGTAAACAGTAGAATGATCACAGTGGAAAACGTCAATGATGTACATTGGCTTTAGGTTCAAATGTGAAGTAAACCACAGTTACTTTCAACCTTGCAATGCAGTTGGCGGAGGGGCATTTTATGAGTGTCAACATCTGCCGAAAAGACAAGGATATTTTTAATGCATTTTTACAGTCTTTCTAAGTATCACTCCACCTACCTGTAACCTAGCAACAACCGCCAACCATTGCAAAATATGGAACGATCTTGTTAATCAATTTGTTTGTTGTAGAATCTAATAATAATACAGTATGATCAGAGGGGAAACCTCAGCTCCTTCTAAACCTCCAGAGAAGACAGGAACTGAACTAAAGGCCTTACATGTTAGAATAAACGCCAGCGTAATTAGAAAGTGACAGTGAAACAGACCTATTTATCACCATCAAAATAAAATACGACACAACATGCTTTTCTGAGCATATCACGGATATCATCAGTACTTAAAAACACTGGCCAACTGCACGTTTGATTACAGAGAAACCATCATTAGTCCGGTTTAACTGGGTTTGATGCAGCACAGTATGTGACAATTTGAATAAAAATCTTATGAGATGTCAGAACAAAATAAATACTGTGACATAGTGTGTATCCTGAAAACGTCTTGAAGTATCGTGATACATTTTTTCCATATTGCCCAGCTTAGTGAAATCAGTCATGGTTTGATTTGCGATGGGTGGGACCAATTCTCTAGTCACTCTAGGTCAGGGGTGTCAGACTCCACCACTAAAAGGGCCAAATTAAAAAATCTCCAGCTCTATTTTTATTTGATTTTTACTTAACATTTTGCCACGACCCCAACTGGCCACTGGTTGTTCAAAACATGCCAAAACTACAATGCCACAAATACGCATTGAATACTTGAATGGTTCGGGAATAATTTTAAATAAAAACAAATTGTTTTATATAAAAAAAAGCAGATTACATTAGCTGCAGAGACCTGTTAAACCTCTTTTAACGTCCCCAGTGTACAGTAGGTTTTTTTTTTTTACTGTTCATTTGCTTGAACTAGATACTTGGCATCTGTTTTGTTTTTGTGGTGCTGTCCCACAGATCGTTGTTGGGGAGGGGGTGGGTACTGTAGTGCAGCTCAGAGTAAAATGGGCTAATATTAATAGAAAATTAAAATAATTTTGCCTTTGTTTGACACAGGGGCTCTAGGCCTACTGGAAGTTCTAGATACATCTCTGAAGATACGAGCAGTAGTCAAACCAGGTTTCAGCCAGTTAAAAAAAATGAGCAACAGCAACAGCTCTTTGCCAGGACGCTTAACCAAAAGAGTCACTGTAAAACTGACACACACACAAGGTATATATTCAAATATATTCATGTCATGTTTTTTTACAAGCTTTGAAAGTCCATAATTAACAGAGAATGGCTAAACTACAGTTGTATAAGTTCAAACACCTCCAAATTTCATATTATTTCTTATGTTATTTGCGTTTAACACATTGAAAAAAAATCATAAAATATAAAGAGGTGTCAATAATATTTTTTACAATATGTTAAGTTCAGCAAATAAACAGTAATTGTGCATTAAAATGTGCAGAAATGTGTTCTCTGTAGAGGATGTGTTCACCCAAATAGTCACGGTTCATCAATTGTTATTACGTAAGCACACGGCACGTGGCTTGTCCTCATACAGAAGCTTCTGAAGTCGTAGATGCCACCAGACACAGAGCCGTCGATGACTTCAGAACGCAGAGTTATTCATCATCACAGATGACATCGTGTCTGAATCAGTGTGTGTGTGTGTGTGTGTGTGTGTGTGTGTGTGTGTGTATGCCTTACCCGTTGTGCTTGTGGAGGCTCAGTGAGCAGCAGAGTGAATAGGCCAAGGCACACTTCCTCATGCTGCTGAGGACCCTTACACACCTGCACAAAAACACCCAGACACATTATTTAACTCCTCTTAAACAAAATCACGTTTTTATATTACCAATAAAGAATCCCCTGAAGACTTGAGGCAGAATGAAAACGACTGCCGTAATGCACCATTCTGGGTGTAAAAAACTACACTAAAGCACTATTCAAGCAGGACTCGTTTTTCACAGGGAGGTGAGGTGATGTAATTTAACACCTGTTATAAAGATAATGTAATGTTACAATTTGCACGGGATAAGACATCTCAGCCTTAATTACAGAGATGGGTGTGGCCTCTCGATTTTATGCACTGCCTTCACTCCAAAAACAGTAGAAATCATCACAATCTGTCATAAGTGAATGCAGCACGTAACTGGTATTGTGATTAGCTTGTGAATTTACAGTCAATATTTTTTTAGTAATGTTTCTGTGATGTTTCTGTACCAAAAAACAATAAACCATTTTAAAATAACCTATGATTTAACAACCATGCTTTAAAACCCATGTGTCAGGCTCCAGTCCCTGTGGGCCAGAACACCGCAGACTTCAGCACACTGCCTCATTAAACACACCTGACTCAGCTCATCAGCTAATTAGCATGGGCTGAATTTAGAGCGTTAGATGAGGGTAAACACTAATCTTTGCAGCACTTTGGCCTAGAAGGTCCCCAGTTTGACATGTCTGCCTTAGAATTAATCAGGCTGCCTTTAGACTGATATATATATAAATGACCTCTGCTCTGATTGGCTGTCCCGTGTCGTGCCTCATTAAAAAAAGTAGCACATGCTCCTTATAAGTTCAATGTAAATAGGCGGGGCTAAACCGCTGTTGGCTGAATAGGTGGATATATGTAAATGAGCAGGTTTTCATGACATCACAAACACAATGAATTCCAAATGGGGTGTTTTTGCAGCTTAGTAACCATTTGTGGACCATATGGAACGAGGAGTGAATGGTATTTTTCAAACAAAGTGAGAAAAGTGTTGTTTTCCATGATATAAATGGGGTCTTTAAATGTTCAGAGTCACTTTAGAAAGGACAAAACATATTGATTTGATTTTCTCCACAGAGAACAACAGTAAATGCTTTTTAAAGTGAATCCACACTTAAGAAAACTCCTTTTCCACAGAACATGATACCAATTTGCACCAGATTAATATAACCTGGGATTATTTGTGTGGTTTGTTTTATAGCAGCTAAAAGGTGCCAGAATCTTTACTGGTATGGAAGCTCACAGACATTAACAGACTGAATGGGTCTAAAATCACTGTGAACCATCAGTAATAAATCTAAAACTATGTAAAATGAATCCCACCCGAATGGTGTTTAAAAATACAAAACAAATGACAGAACAGAACAAATAACCTGCAAGAAGACATCCAAAAAGTCCATCTGTGGTAATAATGTGCACAACTCGATGATGCAACTGAAATCTGGGCTTTCAAAACACTACTCACGGCAGCCGTAACATCAGCCTCTCAACATCTTTGCTGGCCAGGATAAAGATAAGTGAGATTGACGAACAAACCCCTTGTTTATTTTACCACTTGTTTGAAAATGAACTGTCCAGCCAAAAGAGTAAACGCCATCTACAGCTGTTTACTCAAGAGGACGTCTGAATCAAACGCAAGTACCGCTGTAATTACACCCATTTAGATCAACTTCATTCAAAAGAATTGAATTTAGGTTGGATTCAAACTCCAGGAAAACAGATCCTGTTTCTTTGTTTGTGCTGACCGGTGGTGAGAGGGTCAGATGTCAGCCCAGATAATGAGACGTCTGATGCAGATTTGATGGTTTATTACAACCAGAGAATTTATAAGACAAATAAGCTGAACAGAAAAGCAAATAGGGAACGTCCTATTCACAGACTGTCAGGACACTGTTTAACTTCATCCTGTTCCTGTCTAACATTATTATGATCACTATTATGTACTATTATGAATACTGCATTCATATAATCACAGGAGAATGTTGCCTCATTATTGTTGTTTAAGTTGAAGTGGTTAGGCTGTTTCAACACAGACACAATTTTCAACAACAACAACAAAAATCTACTTCTTTTGCCAAAAGATATTTTCACTTATATAGATCTGTGCTAAAACTCGGGCAGCCATGAACATACTTTAAAACTACAGTCTTAAAAAGGACGGTTCTTCAAGGGTTCTTTAGTAATATGGAACCATGAACACTCAAAAACCCTTTGCATGATTAACGGGTTCTTTGCATCGTGAAAAGGTTCTTCAGAATGAGGGAGAACATGCTGTAGATGGTTCTATACAGAACCCTTTTTGAAAATGGTTCTATTCAGCAGGGTTCCACTATTGTTACAAGCCAAAGAACCTTTTTTTGGTGCCATATAGAACCTTTTTTGCTCAGACTGTATATACTCACCGTACGTTTGTCAGCAAAAATACTATAGAACATTATAATAAATATATAAATTAGAATAAACACAGTAAAACATAACAGGTAATTAAGTAATTAAAGGGCTCATATCACGGAAAAACAAATTTTCCTTGTTTAACTGAAACAAAAGAGTCTGATGTAACATTTCAAACTGTACCATTCACTCCTCATTTCATACTGTTCATGCAAACTAAGCTGCAAAAACAGCCTGTTTTGATTTTTTTGTGCCCGTTCACACTGACGTCATAAAAAGCGTTTTAGCCCAAACTGTTTTCTGGATCAGGCGCAATACAGGGCAGCCAATCAGAACACAGGCTAATTTAAATATGTGAGTCACAGTGACAAACACAGCCTGTTTAATTCTAAAGCATAAAAAGAGGTTTGTAAAAATGGTCTTGTACAAATGACTTGTGGGTTGATGCCAATATTTTAATGCAAATGTCTTCTGCCGTCGATGCAATTCAGATATCGCTGTGCATCTTCACTGCTTTTGGTACATAAACCACACAAACATCCTAACTGTAGGAGTTTTCAGGGTAAAAATACATGAGAAAAACAGAATGTGGGACTTAATAACTTGGTTAAATAAATACAGGTTTGGCTTCCTCCTTCACTCCAGCCACTGCATTTGTTTAATTTAATCAGCGAAAACAGATTTAATTTAATGAAGGATTGATTTGATAAACTAGGGTTTAGATGGTACCAGTAAATACTGGACATCCACAAGAAGAAATCTGGACATGAAATTAAAGGGCCCATATCACCAAAAACAGAATTTTCCTCCTTTTTTCTTTTTTATAAGTGTGGAAACAAAACAGGAAAACAGGAAAAACAGCCTGTTTTGAATTTGAGTTTCTGTGATGTCATCAGAACCAAATAAATTACATTTACAAAACGGAGAGTTCCGGTCCTGAAATCTGATTGGCTGAGCCGCGCTTGAAACCGTTGAAAAATCCACGATATACTTACACCTATGACCACCTCACAGCAACTGAATTGAGGGGCGCCGCTGGATTGGCGCTAAATAAGACTTGCTGTGGTAATTTCATGACCAAAAGGTACTGATAAAGGGAAAGTTTGTGTATAAAACAGTGCTGTGTTATCTTTTGTTTATTGTTACGCAACAAAAAGTTAAGAAGTTCATGAAATGACTGCAATATACAAAGATTACCGACCGAACATTCATCTCCTCATTCAGCGGTCCATGGTTGCTTGGCAACAACACCATACTCTAAAGGATCTACATTTTATAGCAGAATACTTGTTTATGTTGATTATTATTAATAATAATGTAATATCTGTAATATCTACCTATACAGCCTATAGCAAATTTAGCCCCGTCCACTCATGCCGAAGTTATAAGAAGTGTTTCAGCCCTGCCTGCTTTTTGAATACAGGCACAATATAGAGCAGCCAATCAGAAGAGAGTTCATTTACATAGAACAGTCTTAAGGGCAGAGTAACAAAAACAGCCTGTTTAATTCTAAGGTATAAAGAAAGGCTGGAAAACTGTCATGTAAAAATTAATTATAACTATTTTTGAAACATAAAACTAGAGATGCACCGATACAACTTTTCCCTTTTGATACCGATTCCTGATCCTTTAGTATCGGCTGATATCGAGTACCGATACAGAGACTAATCTAAACTAACTCACCTATATGTCCTGATATTTATACAATTACATTACAATATTTTATTTTGGTATGTCCACAAATGTTATAAGTGGACCTCAAGGGACAAAATAGAAAACAAAAGAAATGTAGCATATGGGCCCTTTAAACTAACACTCTCACACATGAACTCACAGTGGATTGTTTATTTATCTCTATTTATTTGAATGTTATTGATTTTGAAACAAATAGATAATATTCCAGATAATATTTCTTAGATGCCTAAGATGTTCACACTGTACTGTATTTATATACTGTGTTTGTTCTGGCTTCCTGGCTTTACTGTGCCACGTGAATGGGTGAAAGAGTGTCACTCACGTGGGCAGTGAGGGCATCGTTGGCTTCTCGTTCCGACAGCCCGTTGGTGATGGATGTCGTGATTGCTACGCACCGTTCCAACCTCTGAAACACAAACACACCAGGATTTGGTCAGTAAGCGAGCGCGCAGGCTGAGGCAAGTACACAAAAACAGAGTGCGTTAAGAGCAAAACAACAATGTGGAACACAAGGATCATATTAGGAACCTTTATCAAACAACCAGACAAACATCATAAGACCTTTATAATGCAACCTGATAATCACATCGTACAGTTTTATTTCACAATGTTAGATAATCATATTATAATGTCCAGCAAACATCCTTGAGCAAACTGCCATTACCAGCAGCTGCTTTCTGAGCACAGACAGCATGCATATACGCTCGTATGCAAAAGTTTTGGCACTCCTGGCCAAATTACATGTTTAGTTTATTTTCTAAGTGAAAATAAGTGACACATCCTCTACGGAGAACACACTTCTGCACACTTTAATACACAATTACACAATATCTGCTTAATTTAACATATGAGACAGACCATGAAACACAGCCTGTGCAAAAGTTATGGCATGTTTTTATTGCATGTTTTATTTTAACATGTTAAACTCAGCAAATAAAAGAACTGTGCACTAAAAGTCTCAGAAATATGCCATATTTAAGTTTTTGTCTTGTAGAGGGTGTTTTAGCTTATTTTGAGAAAACTAATGTCATTTGACCAGCGGTGTTCAAACTTTTACATACGACTATATGTGAGTGGACTTTGTGTCTCTATTACCGTCACTTCTCCACCACCACAACATCTACAAATCTACTGTCCAGGTGTAATTTCAGCACAACTGACTGTAAATGCAAATTAAACCACGCAGATGTTCTCAGTGTCTGTTTTATCACTGACTTTCTGTTCCTGCATCAGGAACCGCTGCTATGAAGTTCAGGAGGATAACACGCCCACAAGCTGCAGCCTTTAATCACATTTTAGTTCTTCTGAAATCCCTCATTGGGGCTTTAATCTCAGTACCATATACAATGCTCAATTTAAGAGCACAAAGTCGGAAGTGCACTCCACTTCCAAATCACTGTGTTCCTGCATTTACAGCCCCCCGACCCCGACCACCAACTAATTATACTGACCCTTAGAGATCCTTTTGTTCTGGTCTGAAACCTCTGATTGTGGATGGCTATGCTGTTGGTATACACTGGTATAAATCATATAAATCAAGATATGATGAAACGATTAGTCAATGGTGATAACGCTTTCCGTCACAGACTACTGTGTTTATGCTGAGCAACACAGGTGAGATGTAACGTAAACAAACATATGCAAAAGTTTGGACACCCCTGGCCAAATGACACATCTTCTACAGAGAGCACACGGCACAATTTAATACACAATCAGTGTTTATTTGCTGAATTTAACATATTGGGAAAAAATAAACATAAAATGTGGCCTGTGCAAAAGTTGTGGCACATTGTATGTGTTATGTTTCACTTTTCCCAACATTATAAACTCAGAAAATAAACAGAAATTGTGCATTAAAATATGCAGAATGATGTCATATTTCAGTTTGTCCCTTAAACAGGATGTGTTCACTTATTTTCACTGAGAAAATCAACAAAACGTGTCATTTGAGCAGCGGAGTCCAAACCTCTGCATACGACTGTGAAAACAGTGTTTGAGAAGAACTGCGTACTAATTTACAGCATCTCTAATAGTATTTTTATAATTACAGTATCATTTTTAATCTACCGAATCTCGTTATTAGACATTTTTCTTAATGCGCATATTTGTTGTTTTCCTGCTGATTGACATCTTTCAAGACTTTGAACTCACTTGTTATTATTATTAATAATTTATATTACTCAATATATCAGTGGTTACCAACTCTGGTCCTCGAGATCCACCTTCCTGCAGAGTCTAGTTCCAACCGTATCTGCCACACCTGCTCAAGCTAAGAAACTTGGCAAAAAATTTAGCAAACAACCAGCACTGGCAGCTTCTGCCACAGACCACAGGCTGCTGCTCCTATTGTAGCTTGGTGCTGCTTTCATGCTGAATGACTGTGAAGTGGTTTAACGTACATTTAAGGGTGAACAATGTGTCTGAGGGAGAACCGCAGATCAATTTACACCATATTAAATTGAGAAAGTCAAAACTTCGGGATACAGCTTGTAAGGAAATCCACTGGCAGCTTGTATGACAGATCGCGGACTGCTGCTGTAATTATTATGTTGTTTTCATGCTGACTGACTGTAAAGTGGTTTAACGTACATTTAAGGGTGAACAATGTGTTTGAGGGAGAACCGCAGATTAACTTACACCATAAAAAATAGAAATATTTCAAAATGTGAGCAAATAACCAGCACTGGCAGCTTCTGCTACAGACCACAGGCTGCTGCTCCTATTGTATGTATGTTGTTGGTTTCATGCTTAATGACTGAGAAGTGGTTTAACATACATTTATGGTTGAAAACTGTGTTTGGGGGTGAACTGCAGATCAATTCACACCATATTAAATTGAGAAAAGTCAAAACTTCAGGAAAAATTTCATAAAACTTTATAAAGAAATCAACTGGCAGCTTCTGAGAGAGATCAGACTGCTGCTGTACCTATTGTATTAACGCTATTGTTTTCATACTGACTTGGCCGAGATTTACTGTACATGTAAGGGTCAAAATGTGTCTGAGGGAGAACCGCAGATCCATTTACATCATATTAAATTAAGAAAAGTCAAAACTTCAGGAAGTAGCTTGCAAAGAAATCCACTGGCAGCTCCTATGACAGATCACAGACTGCTGCTGCACCTACTGTATTCACATTGTTGTTTTCAAGCTAACTGGCAGAGAAGCTGTTTACTGTACAGGTGAAAATGTGTTTGAGGGAGAACCGCAGATCAATTTACATCATATTAAACTGAGAAAGTCAAAAGCTTGTAAGGAAATCCACTGGCAGCTTGTATGACAGATCAGACGGTTGTTCCTTTTGTACTTACATTGTTGTTTTCATGCTGACTGACTGTGAAGTGGTTTAACGTACATTTAAGGGTGAACAATGTGTTTGAGGGAGAACCGCAGATTAATTTACACCATAAAAAATAGAAATATTTCAAAATGTGAGCAAATAACCAGCACTGGCAGCTTCTGCTACAGACCACAGGCAGCTGCTCTTAATGTATGTATGTTGTTGGTTTCGTGCTGAATGACTGAGAAGTGGTTTAACATACATTTATGGTTGAAAACTGTGTTTGGGGGAGAACTGCAGATCAATTTACACCATATTAAATTGAGAAAAGTCAAAACTTCAGGAAAAAATTTCATAAAGAAATCAACTGGCAGCTTCTATGACAGATCAGCCTGCTGCTGCACCTATTGTATCCACGCTGTTGTTTTCACTCTAACTGGCAGAGAAGAGGTTTACTGTACATTTAAGGGTGAATATGTGGTTTAGGGAGAACCGCAGATCAATTTTCATCATCATAAACTGAGAAAAGTCAGAACAGCTTGTAAATAAATCCACTGGCAGCTGGTCTAAGAGACCTCAGACTGCTGTTCCTTCTGAATCTACATTGTTGTTGTCACGCTGACTTGGCAGAGAAGAGCTTTACTGTAAATTTAAGCCTGAAAACGTGTCTGACAGAGAACCGCAGATCAATTTACACCATACAAAACAGAGACACGTCAAAACTTCAACAAACAGCCAGCACTGGCAGCTTCTGCCGGCCACCACTGCCTGCTGCTCTTATTGTATTCTGCTGTTGTTTTCATGCTGACTGACTATGAAGGGGTTTAACGCACATTTATAGGGGAGGGATCTGTGTCTATGGGAGAACCGCAGATCGGTTTAGGCTAAAATACATCACATAAGATCGAGACGTGTCAAAACTGAGGGAAACTGCCAGGGAAGAGTCGCGCTGGCAGCCTGTGGCTCAGACAGATCTCAGCCTGCTGCGCTTCCTATTGTGCGTTTCGGCTGTGAGGTTAACTTCCAGCGCTGGCTGGCGGGCAGAGGCGAGGTCTGCTGGGTATCTACGGGATGTAATATCGGTGTTATAGTGGGTCTGTCCGGCTCCGCTCTCACCTCCTCCAGCTCGTCTTTGGCGTCCAGGCTGGTGGCGGCCAGCAGGCGCCCCTGTGTCCTGCTGCCTTTGGCCGCTGAGGGCTCCATCACCGCCGCGGACCCGGGGCCTCTTCTCAGACCAGCCCGCCTCTCCGGCTGCTCTCCGAGCGTCCGCTCTGTGCGTTTATCCCCCGCTTTCTCTTCCTCCGTCTCTCTCTCTCTCCTTTTTTTCGGGGGTTTTTGTTTCTCCGCCGCTTTTTCACCCTCCGACTGCAACAATTCAACTTCCGCAGAGCATGCTGGCCTACCGGAAGTACTCCCTCCAGCGTAGGGAGCGGGCGGAGCGTGGAGGCGAGTCGAGGGAGGAGTCTCGATCCGACAGCTCGAGCCCTACACCCTAGCGCACTAACTAGGGCTTCAGACTTCTTCTAGGGCCAATCCAGAAACCAGTCATGACACTCAATAACAACAACCACACTCTCGAAATAGATGGTTCTTCAAGGGTTCTTTAGATTCAATATAGAACCATGAGTTCTATATAGAACCATTATGCTTCACCTCTTATTCTCCAGGGTTTATTTTGGTTTGTCCATCTGAATTTGCATGACTGCATGAAATAAATACATTTTTATTTTATTTATTTATTTATTTTTTGTAAAAGTTTCCCTCAAATTAACAGAACATGTTTTATGATCACACATGTTGCTATATGCTTACACTTTACTACTGAAAGCCAGAAATCTTAGACGCTTTTTGTATTATTTTATAAAAATGATTTTTACAGAGCAGATCACTGAAGAGACGCCATCTGTTTATAGTTTATAGCCCAGATTTGTGAAAAATGGGTCGACTTTCAGCAGACAAAAAACTGAGTTCAGCTTCTTTTATTATAAGGGTTTAAAATGACATCACCCATCTATTTGACTGGAAAGAAGACAGTTACAGCTCTCATGCGACCCCCACCTTCTGAATGTAGCTTATGAAATATGGAAGTTATGAAGAATATGACGAAGTGCGTTTTGGAACCACCGGTGGTTCCAAGGAGTTTAAGAGGCTACATGGTTCTTTGCATGGTGAAACGGTTCTTCAGACTGATGGAGAACGTGTTGTATCCCAGCAAACACACAACATTGTCACAATGTTGTCTACTTTCTTACAACGTTTCTACAACGTTGTCAAAAGGTGGGGCTGTTTACGTTGCCTGGACAAGGCTGTCACAACCTCATTATTCAATAACGTTGTCAGAGGGCAGTGGTGTCCGAATCTTCTTCAAAGGGGCCAGAAAGGACTCCATTGAAATACCTGAGCTGGTCATTCTTTACCAAAATGTCATTCCTAAATTATTTCATATATTCTGTATTCAAAATATGGAAAACACAAACATACAGAACAAGTAATAATTGTTATACAAATATTGAATTCCCTCTGATAAAAAGCTGCTTTAGTTTTTGTTTAATGTCCATGCTAGGTTTTATGATGTATTGTAATTTATACAACAGTTAGTTTCCGGCCACGCGAGCTGATTGGTTGAGAGGCGTTCTAAGTGTGCTGTTATTTCACCATAACATCACAGGTTTTTCACAAACACTGTATCACTCCGCTGAGACGCTGTTGCTAAGCAACGACTTTGACAGCTGTAGGAGACGCTCAAGCCATTTGAACGTTTTTACTTCTTACTTTGTCACAAACAGAAAATGGACACTTTAAAGATCACATTTGACCGACAGCCGATTTGGTCAGATGAGACTACTCGTTTGTTGAGTGGTGTTCGGTTCATTTCTGGACAGTTCCAGGTTGTTTAGCTGTTCTTCTGTCACAGCTGCTGACTGAAAAGCTGCTCAGTGGTGATGACAGTTTGGGAATGTAGTGTAAGGAGCTGGAGAACGAACTGCCGGCTCTGCAGCGAGTGGGCGGAGCTCGTTACTCTGACGTTGCAACAAGCTGCTTGTTAAGGAACTATAATTTGGTGAAGGAACTGCGAACATTAAAACATATTAAACGCCGCGTTCACGGCCCAGTTTATTAATTTATTACTTTATTTATGTACCTGTTGTATGAAAGCAATAGAACACTCGAGGAGTGTGTTATCACGAATAACATCACGGCTGTGATGATCTATGGCGACCAAATCACAGCCGTGATGTTATTTCACGATAACACACGACCTCGAGTGTTCTATTGCTTTTATACAACAGTTAAATAAATAAAGTAATAAATAAATAAATAAAATTCATTACAGTCTCTTGACATAGGAGGTAAACATTTTTTACAGCTGTTGATGAATAAGTATTTCAGCGCTCTTGAAACGGACGGTGGTCACTGTCAGCTGCACTGTTATTGTGGAGTTGTGACTGAATGTCATTCAGTAAATTAATTTGCAGGTTAATTGTAAATTAATTGTAGGTTTACAGCACTGCTGCCACCGTCAAGTGAAAGGAGCAGTAGCAACAGGACAGAGGGCAGATTAAAACCAATCCTAGGGCCACATTTGGCCCTGGACGCCCCTGTCTTACGGTATTATGACTACTACATGGAGTTCCATGCACAACATAAGGGAATTAATGAAGGATTCTAGGAGGTTGTGAGAATGGACTGACAACGCTGCCACTACGTTGTCCCAATGTTGTCAGATAACAATGTCACAACTTTCTGAGGAGTTACATTTCAACCTTGACATTCAATGTGACAATGTTGTGGGCACCAAAACAATCGGCTGTCACAACATACGGTTCTATATAACATCTTTATGAAAAATGGCTCTACATTGCATCAAAAAGTGTTCTTCTGTTGCTATGATGTCAAGCTTGTAACAGTATAAGAGCCCTTTTTTGTTTTTTCTTGTTTGTTTCCTTTTCTTTCTTTTTTATTCCACTACAAAACAAAATATAACATTGTATTCAATACAATAGTCATATATAGTATTGCGTCCACTGTTGCCATGTCCACATATTATAGGCAACTTTGGGTTTTTTTTTCTGTAAAGTTGCTATTGGTAGTTGTGGGTTGTGGTTTTTTGATCTTGTTTCTAAAGTATAGTCGCTTGTTTCGACTCCCTGATCCTGTCTCTCTCTCCACTATGCTAATAAAGTGAAACTGCTAGTTTGTCCACAACCCTGTTCCCTCCTTCACTTCCTCACAGAAACCAAAACAAATCAAAATCATGTCATTGATTGTCCATCCTTGATGGAGTTTCTTTGGCTAGTTCATTAACAACGGCAGGGACTATGAGGGTGACGTGCAGAAAAAATGAATACATATACATTAATTGAGATGCCAGTCAAAGCCCAGCAGGCTATGTGTAACTTTTTTAGCCTCTCTATCTCACACGGTGTGGTACAGCTGCCTGTTTTAGTTTTTTTTTTAGAGCCAAGTTGCTTCTTTTGGGTTCGTTTCCATAGACCTGGTTGCTTTTCTCTCCCGTGAGATCTGGTAACACTTATCCCATCACTAAGAAGACCCCGTCACCATGTTGGTAGGTAAGCTGTGACTCTGTGCTCTGGTAGAGCTCATCTCATCACCATTACTGCAGTTACAGCCCTGCAGGTGGCTGAAGACCACAAGTAGCAAAATAGATCAGAATGACCTCGAAAAGATTTCAGCTTTCATTTGCTATCAGAGGAAAGAAATTCTTTCTTACGATTGTCTCAGAGAAATAAAGCAGATCTCAATATTATATTAACGGATTAAGGATCGTTGATTTCTGAACCCCCCTCAGGAGAAAAGAGGAGATAAACATCAGCATTTCACTGTGAGAAGTTCTGGTGATGAAGGAGAAAAGCATGAGTTCTTTTCATCAGGTCTGCAGAGAGGACTATTGGAGTTAAGTGGCCCACACTGCTGGAGCTGCATGCCTCCAGAACCAGGAAGTGTGCAGAGAAGATCTCCACAGACCCCTCTCACCCCGGACACCACCTGCCCCAGCTCCTTCCCTCAGGCCGGCGCTTCAGCCAGATGAGGATCAGGACATCCAGGCTACAAAAGAGCTTCTTCCCACAAGCCATCACTCTCTTGAACAGTTAAAATATTACACATAAACGATATGCCAGCTTCAAACTGCACTTCATAAATACTGGTACATAGTATCTAATTCAACTCTATCCTCTGGAACTGCCGCCTCAAACCAGTGTTTATTCCAGAATCTTACTTACCTGTAAGATACTTACCTTATATTTTCTTATGGAAATATTATTCAACTGAGTCCAGGCTGAGATGAGTCAGACACTAAAGAGTTAAGCCACATGTGTGACAACATTTTGACCAAAGTGAGAAAATCTAAGGGATATTTCTCAGGAGACAAAGTTCAGAAACAGGGGAAAATGGCTTAAGTCTCATTCTGATTTTAAACTGGACTTAACTGTGTCTAGGAGAAGAACCTGAGATCAAGAGGAGATCTCATCTAGAATATTTCTTTTCTCTGGCCTATCAGAACAAATCCAGCTAAATCGAGGCAATACATTCAAATATATCAGTTAATACGCTTTAAAAATGAAATAAAAAAGTGATCCAAAAACGTGTTTTACTGTCTGCGCTGGATCTGTTATGGCTTTGTTATCTGTTTACAAACCGCCACAGCACTGCTGAATGAATGATGTTGTCTGCCAAAATGGCGGCAGCACGACTGCGATGTCATTGGAGCTCTGGCGTTAGATCAGCCAATGAGATTTGTCTAACAGCTGCTTTGCTGAGCTGCTCGTTATCTGCTCATCAAACATTTCCAAGCCAAAGTTTAAGGTATTTGTTGATTAATCTGCATTTGTTGAGATAAATTAATGCATTTATTAAGGTTACGATTACTTTAGTGATTTGTTCTACATTTAAGGCCCCTTAGTGTAACTGCAGCATCATTTAAGGTGGAATGGAAAATTCAAATGAGAAGCTGGTGAATAAGAAGCTGACTTCAGTTTATATATGTGTGAGTTTACTCTTTAAAAGTCTTGGTGGCCACTTTTATTAGTATTCATGAAATATCAAGCACTGGAATGTTCTGAACTCTGGAGAAAAGCAGGCTGTACGGATTTAGTCCATCAATCTAGCTGATCTTCCCCTTGTAGCATTTTCCGGGGGCTGCATCTGAAGACCATGTGTCAAGCGCAAGGCCCGCGGGCCAA